GAACGCCCAGAAGACAGTGGAGATGATTGTGGACTTCAGGAAGAGCACTGTCCCCCCGCCCAGACAGAGACTACAGTGCATTGTGCGCTCTGCAGAGGAAGTGATCGGCCGCAGCCTTCCATCGCTGCAGGACCTGTACGTCGCCCGAGCTCGAGGCCGGGCTGGTCGTATCACAGCCGACCCCTCTCACCTGCACATGGACTATTCCAACCACTCCCCTCTCACCCTGCACATGGACTATTCCAACCACTCCCCTCTCACCTGCACATGGACTATTCCAACCACTCCCCTCTCACCTGCACATGGACTATTCCAACCACTCCCCTCTCACCTGCACATGGACTATTCCAACCACTCCCCTCTCACCTGCACATGGACTATTCCAACCACTCCCCTCAGGCAGGAGGCTGCGGTCCATCAGGACTAGAACCTCCCGCCACAAGAACAGTTTCTTCCCCTCTGCTGTTGGACTCTTGAACACTTCTTAACCTGTCCCCCCGCCCTTTATAAAGTCACTTTACTGCCCATCATACGTCACTTTACTTCACTGTACTGCTGTCACCTTACATTGTGTGCACCATGTGCACTTGTATATTGTAAATAATAACTGCAACTCTATTTTAAATTTAAATTTATTCTTTAGAAGTTTTTTATTCTTATTTTTATTATCTCTTTCTGACTGTTGCACTGAGCCAAAGCAATTTCCAAGTTTGTGAATTCCTGTTACTTACGTGGCAATAAAAATGATTCTGATTCTGATTATTATCAGTATGAGGTCCATTGACTTAAAAATACAATCAAGGAACAAAAACTCAGATTTGGCAAAGAAGACTTGGATTGACTTTTTTCAGCTTTTAACAGAAAATGTCAGAAAATAGACCTGTTTTTAGATCCATTCACACTACAGTAGCTCAGTTGGTAGAACATTGGCCTTTGAGCCAGTAGGTCGTGGGTTCAAGCCCACCTCAAGACTTTCTCCATCGACTCCCGCTGTAGTTGGGTCTTTGGGCAAGACACTTAACCTCTGCGAACACCTGATGCCAAAGTGGGGCGGCTGTAAAGTGCCAGACTGCCGTTGTGTCCTTAGGCAAGACACTTCACCCCCATTGCCTAGAATGAGTCTGGTGTGTGTGTGAATGGTTGGTGGTGGTGCCACACACTGCAGCTGCAGCTGTGGCTACAGTAGTAGTTTATCACCACCGTGTTTGGAGAGAATGATTATTATTTTATTATTATTATTTCCATTATTTTCATAATGGATGCATCTAAAACATACCAGACACTTATGACGTAAAGTTTTTAACCAGCGAGACCTTCCCACTGTGTCTACTGTGTCTAAAGTGACCGTCTCTGCTCCGACAGGCTGCAAACATCCAATCACCACCACACGAACATTTCTGTGATAACACAATATGACTTTCGTAGCCGGGGAAATAAAGCAGGTGGTTTGTGTGAAGAGGTCTTTTCACACAGTCTGACTGAGTTCTGGACCAAAGCCAGGTCTTGTCTCTTGTGGGAGCCATTTTCAACATATTAAAAACTGATCTGTTTTTTCACATTGAACTGAACAGTGTTTAAAGCCACTCTGTGTAATTTTACAGTAGCTCCGAATGAAAAAACAAGTTAGCCATTATTTACTTACACTATGTTTTTGAATTGTTGTCGTAGACTTGTAAATGTCCGAGAGGTGGAGGACTATCCGTGTCAATGCGCCATCTTGAAATACGGTGGTGGATAAGGGACAAAAAGGATCAGAGAAACGCATTTTCGTTTCACAAGTGCTGCTGATATCATTGCTTTCACTGAGCCTTCACAAGATGGAAGAAGGAACCATGGAGTTATGTAAAAGAACCATGTAGGACCACAGTTATATTAAAGAACCATGGAAGTAGATATATGTGTTAGCAGTATAGAGCAAGTGGTGAAAAGGTGGTACTGCACCCTAAAATCCCCTAGAAAGGGGTCGGCGCTCTTGAGCAAGTGGTGAAAGGTGTTACTGCACGGTATTTTTCAAAGAGTTTTTAATGAGTTAGATTCTGTGTGTATGTGATAATGCTTCCACAGTTGCCTAAAGTGATTTATGATCACGGTTTATTCTAAAACAGCTAAGTTGCAGGTCCTCCCTGTTAACGGTGCTTAGGTGTATGTGTGTGATAGTGATGAGCGGTAGGGAGGGCGTACTAACAACCAACCAGAATGCTCTGATGTATGTGATGTGTGAATGTGGGGAACCATGACTGAGCTCACCATGTCAATTGATGGGCTGCTAGGCTTTCAGTATACCATGTATGTAAAAGGAAAATTATTTAAAGAGCAGCTTCACAAGAGCTCACAATATACAAGGCTTGAGGAGAGCAATGAAACTCTCTCCTGTGCCTACTTTGACTTAACTGTCACAGCTTTTAAGTAATAAGAGTCACGGAGCTGGGCGCAGGGTTCCAACTGGTACAACAGTATAAATGACCCGTGTGAAACTCACCTGATGACAAAGGTTCCGTGGAGCAAAAACACATATATTTTTGTGTGTGTTTATCAATCGTAATTAATGCGTTATACTCCTAACCCTAATCATAAGGTATTAGTCTCTATATCAATTTAATTGACCAATACAATAAAAATAAGAACCCTATATACCTATATGTACACAGTTTGAAACAGAGTAGGTAGATGTGAAACTAGGGTCCTTGGTACATGTTTTCTTTTTACTGGAGATCAAATGATTTAAAGGCGTACATCTCTCAGATATACAATTGTTACCATAAATAGTCATCTTAAAGACTGATTAAACAACCATATTACATACCTTAAACATTATGTACAACATTTTACCAAAACACAAACCATTAATTAAACATTATGTACAACATTTTACCAAAACACAAACCATTAATTAAAATCCAGATTTTCGTATGTAACACTCTCATATTTATTGAGTATAGTAGTTTTGTTGTTTCTTAAAAACCATGATTTTTATTTTGACTCTTTAATGTCTTTGTTAAGTTGATTCCTTTCCACTGAGACCATTCTTCCCACGAATGTAGTTCTGAATCTAGGTTTTATTAAAATGACAGTTACTTACAGAGTGTATTGACATTGTCTTTTTTCCAAAGTTCTCTTAGAGGTTTTCTGCTAATGTTTTGCAATGTAAAAATTCTTGCGACACCAAAAAGTAATCAATGCGGGATCTGGATTTATTTAATCCAGAATAACATGAATATTCTCTGTTAAATTCAAATCAGCCATATATTGCAGTATATTTTTTCTACATTTTTGTTTTTGGGGGTCTAATTTTGAAGAACGGTCCAGAAGTGGATTCAATGTGCAATTAAAATCCCCGCCGATAATATATATACCATTCAATGAGGACACCGTTAAAAATAATTCATCAAAAAACTTTGGATTGTCCTCATTAGGGCCATACACACACATTCAAGAGAGCACATATGCCCCTGAACAATAACACACTTTCCTTGAGGATCTTGAATAGTCTTTTTGAGCTGAAAAGGTATTGTTTTGTGAATGAGAATTAAAACTCCCCGTGCATAATTATTGTAATTTGCATAGATAACTTGACCCGGCCATCTACGACGTACCCGTTCAATTTCTGAGCTGGTAATATGAGTTTCTTGGAGAAAGAATATTTTAGAGTTTAAGCTTTTAAGTCTGTTCATAACTTGTTTCAACTTTGAAAGCCTATTGAGCCCCCGGACATTCCAGCTAGTAATTATCAAGTCTGACATTTTGAATCTTCCAGAAATTTAAATGCAATGCAATTTCTAGTGCAATATTGAACAAAACATAAATAAAAAAACAAACAAAACATAAAAAAACAATCCCCTGATCCCAATCCCTTACTTAAACTGAACAGTGTTAGGGCTGATGTCAATCCACACAGAGGAGGAGTGACTGAACTGTGGAGAATCATCCCTGAAAAAGCCCAAACTGGCACCCCCACAACTCCTCACATGGGTTTATAATGTCCCAGCAATAATACAAATATAATTATAACGTAAAGTCTCCGCCAAATGCAGTATATAAGGCACAAATAAAATTAGAAGGTAAATAATTACCATCAAAGACAAATAATAACTATTTTCAAAACAATTTGATTCAAACAATATCGCGATTTTGTCCAGAGAAGTACTTGAGATTACCTTTACTCCAAAGTATTGAAGAAGAATATAAGTTACTTATGCAGAAAGTTCTCAGCTTCTTCTGGTGAAGAGAAAGTGACAATCTTCCCGTTGTGGAAGATCCGCTTCTTACATGGTTGTAGCTGGAATCTCCGAAAAGATCCAGCTTCAACGAACTGCTTTTTCACCGCGTTGAACTGGCTGCGTTTCTTCATGGTTTCTGCAGAAAAATCTTGGGCAAAAAAGATCGTATGGCCCTCGTGAGTGATAGTGCGTTGCTTAGCTTTAAGGAACACCACTTCTCGATCTTGAAAACGTAAAAATCTGATTAGTACCGCTCGATTCTGTCCTGGTTTTGGTCTGCCCAGCGTGTGATGTGCTCTTTCAATCGTAAATGGAGTGTCCGCGGGGTCAAGACCCAACCAGAGAGGCATCTTGTGCTGAATGTAGCTTAGCATGGACTGGGTTCCTTCGGTGCCCTCAGCCAGACCCACGAGTCTCAGGTTCTTCCGACGGCCACGGTTTTCTAAATCCTCAGTTTTAGTTTCCAGATAGGCAATACGTTTCGTAGCAGCAGTAAGCTCCGAGATCATACTTTGCACGCTCTCCTCCGCAGATTCAATGCGGTCCTCCGCCTCGTTGAGCCGCGTAGCATTAGCGGAAATATCTTGCTTCAGAGCCGTAAAGCCTCCCTGTACCGCAGTAACAGCGTTGTTCATGTCAGAAATACGTTCTTCTAGTTTGTCCAGCTTGTCTCCAAAACCGGCAATATCGCTCATCTTGTCGTGGATAGAAGTAATATCCGTGCGTAATGATTGCAGCTCACTTAGCACGGCGGCTAGGTCGCCTCCTTCATGTGGGCCAGCCATGCTACCTGTAGCGTTAGCACCCGGGGATAGCATTGGTATCGGAGCAGTGCTTCTGGTCTTCTGAGACCCGCGGAGCCGAGAGGTAGTTTCACAGTCCTTAATCGTTGTTTGTTTTGACATCTTGTGAGCGTTGCAAAAGGCGCTAACGCTGGAACTTTTTAAGTTTTACGTGGAGTTGTGAGGGACAACCACGTTATGCTGCCATCTTGCTTGGCGGCTCCACAGCGCCCCCTGTTGTCTTCACTTAGAAAATTGTAATAGAAATAGAAAATATCTATCTTTGCTGTTGAAACTTATGTGCCATAACTTTTACAATACATCACAATGTATTGTTGTATAGCCCTAGGTCACAACAGAAGTCATCTCAGACTTAACAAAACCATTGAAATCACCAACACAGGTCAGAGAATCAACAGTTAAAACACATGAAGAATATAAAGCACACACAGAAGAAAATGTCCATACATGTTGTAGAATGCTAAAGTGTCCTGATCATCACCAATCCTTTCTGTTCTTACTTTTGGCTTTTTCAAAATGGCCGCAGGGAAGGAAAATGTAAAAATGGCACAAGCCCCATTTATTTAACGAGTGTATTCAAAAGTCTACAGCGGCTAAACTAGATTGGTCCAAAAAAAACTCTCCTCAGCATCGACAGCATCTGGAGTAGTAGCTTTGGGCCAAGAGCGACTTTTGGACCATCCTGTGAAGACCTTTTTTGCGAGAAAAGAAGGCACCATACAAAAGCATTGGGTAATTCTGTTTCCTGTACGCCACCACCGGAGTAAGAGTGCAACATGTCAGCGGACGTGTTTATATCTTTGGAGCCAGGACCCGGCCCCACTGGTTCTATTAGACACTGCACAAGCTGAAATCTCTAAACCCCGGGGTCTAGTCTTATACACGTACTCTTGTGACCTTTTACTAGTTCAAATTTAAAATGTGATGTCAATTAGATTTTATATTTTCACAAATAAGTGGTGAGTAGTATAATTTATCTTCTATATGAAATTATTATTCATATTATTATTAAAAAAAATTATCGGACATTATTTTAGAAATTTTACCATTCAGACAACTGCTTCCACTACTTTCACTTTAACTTTACTTCTAATCTAATAATCATATCCAATAATTTGTCGCTCGTCACAGGGAGCGCCCGGACCTCCAGGACCTCCAGGTCGACCAGGGATCTTCAACTGCCCCAAAGGAGTAAGTCCCGCCCCCTTCTCTCTGCTCTATGACCATGTGTGTAACTGTGTTCATGATTGTGTATCTGCCCTGTTGCCTTCTGAAGACAGTGTTTCCAGTCCCTCCTAGACCTCACTGCAAAATGCCTGTAAGTCATGGCAAGTCCAGACAAAAATCCACTGATCGCCTCTTTGAATATTCCTCACCCTGCATGAGATGAATTGCCTGCAGTTACAATGTTTGGATGTGCATGTGGGTTTGTAGTTTTCACTGTCACCGAGGACACAACAGTTGTGTTCGTCTGCGCTTTAAAACAGTTCATATTGTATGGTTTACGTTACTATAGAAACTTGTGGTGTTTTGCTTCGGAAAACAAACCGTATTTATCTATTTCTTATTTATTTACTTGTTCTTCAACACTTTGAACTTTAGTTTGAGCCCCTGAACACACTTGAAACGTTCAGACTTTGGTGTGACTTATTTTAGTTAAAGAAAAGCATGATTTATTTTGTTTTTATAAAGATTTTATCCCAAAAAGACTTCAGAACAGACCTGGAAAGTAGCGACTCTCGATCCTTTTCCCTCCATTTAAAAGTTCCATCTGTGCTGTCATGTTCTACCTCCTCTTTGGAAAATGGAACCATCATAATTTGCTCTAAACAATTACCTAATTGCTAAAATTTGCGTGTTTTTAAAAATGGTTAATTAATGAAAACAGGTTTGGCCTCCTTGTGATTAGCACACTTGTTTCTCAGAGAGAAGGTTTCGAATCCTGTTCGAAACAAGGGCCTTCTCTTTGTTCTCTTTGTGTAAAAATATGTTCTTGCCCACAGTCCACCCCTGGTCTAGAACATGGTCCCAATAAATCATAAATATAAATATATAAATGATTTATATAGTTTCATGGCCATATTCATTTGAAAAAGCCCTTTTCTGTAACTAAACAAAAATAATCAGCTACACACACACGCTGAAATCGCAATCTCTTGCTTCTCTGTTTTTATTTATGATTGCATGACTCATGAGGTCACATTAAGTTTTTGCACAAGATTTTAGTTCAGTTACTAACAAATAAAAACAATTGTATTTATTTGATTTTATAATATTAACTTAACATGCTCCTTTCTGCAGCTTAATCCTGATGGTACAGTAGCAGCAGCAGGTGAGACTGGTCATTCCTTAAAAACACGTTAATATATATTTATATTTATATTATAACTGTTTTTTTGTGCATTAGGTAATTGTGCAAATGGGACGAAGGGAGAAAAAGGAGAGCGAGGACCTCCTGGAATGCCTTCAGCAGGTAATCTGTGCATCATAGAGTAACGCTGGGATCGGCCTCACTAACTTCAGCGTCTTTGTTTTCAGACTTTTTCACAAGAGGATGGGTAAGTCTCATTGCGTGTGTGTTTGTGTGAATGAGTGTGTGAATGAGTGTGTCAATGAGTGTGTGAATGAGTGTGTGAATGAGTGTGTGAATGAGTGTGTCAATGAGTGTGTGAATGAGTGTGTGAATGAGTGTGTGAATGAGTGTGTCAATGAGTGTGTCAATGAGTGTGTGAATGAGAGCATGACTGATTGTGTGAATGAGTGTGTCAATGAGAGTGTGAATGATTGTGCGAATGAGTGTGCGAATGAGTGTGTATGTACGTGAGCATTGTGTATTTGTGTCTCAGGGCGAGGACAGTGTGAGAGGGGAGAGGGGTGACAAAGGAGAGTCCGGGTTCATGGGAAAGCTCGGTGTCTCTGGACGTCCTGGGCCTGTGGTGAGTCTATGATGTCACGTGACATACTTTAGAACACGTCCTCAAAGGTCTGCAAGTTTTACCCAAGCCCTTATTCAAATGAATGGTTTGTGCTCAGTGGCACATGTGCCACCATGGACGCTGAAAGATTACCAGAACTCGCCTATATTTGGGCATCGTCTGGTCTTCTCGGTTCTGCACAGTGGACAAGCTCCCATGATGCGTTGTGCCATACACTGACCAATCAGAGCTGCTGATCAGAGCGGAGCTAGAGCGGAGTTAGAGCCAGAGCCAAACGAGCAGAGTTTGTGGTACTAAAGTGTGGATTTAAAAAACACTTCAGGATTTAAGAGGAAAAACAATTCAGGATGACAAGGGACACCAAAATCCCCACAAAATCCGACCTTTATGAAAGCTGTTGGTTCTCTGTCAGCTGAGGTCGAGCTGTTTTAGTTTACATTGAGTTCTATGGGGAACATTTCTGGGTAGCCCACGTGAATTTAGTCTGGTTCAGTCTGCAGTACCGCGAGAATCCCCCGAGCACATGGGTCCTTCAGCTCTAAACAAGTAATATTCTATCCATTTATTATTATAGATCCATGGTTTTCCCTGAGTAGGAGCACTCCAGACTCCACCAATTTCCACATGTGAGTTTTAACCTGAAGATTTGAGGAAATGGGTGGAGTCTGGTGTGCTCCTACTTGGTTGGAAAGCCTGCAGCCACACTGGCTCCTTCTGGAACTGGTTTGACACCTGTGGTTTAGAATGTTCAAAACTTTTAACATTGTAAATTATTGTGTTTGTATCACAATTCTTTACTTGTCAATGCTCTCAACAGGCTCGAGTCAAAATCCCATAAGAAAACAGTTTACAACGTCATATGAAGATTATAACCTGCAGCTGACTCTCCTCTCCTGCAGGGTCCTAAAGGCGACTCTGTGATGGGACCCCCTGGACCTCCTGGAGTCCCTGGTTCCCCTGGGGTCCCTGGGTACGGCTGGCCTGGACCCCCCGGACCTCCCGGACCTCCAGGAGCCCCCTCTGGATCCAGATATGGAACAGGTATTAGGGAAAACAAAGATCACACTAAAGATGAACCAATGTGGGTTTGATCACCAACAAGTGTGTGACTTTTACAGTGAGCATCGCAGGACCCCCCGGAGCACCAGGAGCATCAGTGAGTTACCCTTCTGTAATGACATCATGTGTGAGAAGGATCATCACCAGGGTCTTTAGAAACTCCCCTAACCCCCATTTTCCTGCAGCTTTAATATATTCAAATTTATACTTTGAAGATTTTAAACTGTTCAATTGTGTTTTTAAAGTTAAAGAAGAAATATTTGCCATTATTTTTCAAAAATTGAAAATTATTAAGAGATGTTATTGAATTTCTCATTACATATTTTAGAATGTGAAATATGAGTGAATATGAGTTGCTGCCCCGCACACATCGTCAATCTGGCGAAAACGGGCAACTCCTGTATCAGACCAGTCTCGGGAATAACAGCAACTGGCCTCAACTACAGTGTGTTTCTGACATAAACTGTAGAGGGCGCAATACACACACGTTGTCGGAGAGGCGCATGGAGCGCGCACATCGGGTCATATCTCCGGAACTGAGGACAACTAGTTACCGAAAACTAGAACACGGGCAACTGACTGAATCTGGAGATCGAGTTGTTTTTCTCCAGTTGTAAGAGCGCTCACATCGACCGATTTCAACTGATCATCTCCATCATCTCCTCTCAGTCGCCAAAAGCCGCCTTCAACTAGTTGTCTCCAGTTACTCTGTCGATGTACGCTAGGCTTTATAGGACAGGAGCTTTCAGACAGAAGGGGCGGGGCTACATGTTTTTGCCAGGACCAGCATCACACAGTGGAACAGTGAAGGGATCTAAAAAAACTCAGGTCTGTTTTTGATAAGGAACAATGTTGTAACGTGGTTAAAAGATTAAAAAAGTAGATTTAGCTCAATATGTCTCCTTTATATAAAAGTGGCATGGTATTATGCTTATTATGGTATGGTCGTGTCCTCTGGTTGTCGCCCAAAGCCTTCAAAGCCTTTTTTCTCTACTTTACATTGTCTGTGCTGCTGTGTGAAGGAGAAGTTTTGTAGGTCCTCCCTCCCTGCAGCTGTCAGACTGTATAACGAGAACTGCTGAGTCACTGATGATAATCCACGAGAACTTAGTCCCTTTACCTGTTGCTATTACACAAGTTGACAGCCAAAAAATGGTCAGGGGTTTCTCAACTGATTCAGACTAATGTTGGTGTTCTGAGTCCGAATATCACATGCATTCTGCTCTATCAGGTCAACTGTGTGAGATACAGCCATAGTGTTACGGATTATGTACGTCTACGTTATTATGAATTCTGCTTATCAAATTTGATGGAGTAAATAAAAACTGAATGACTTTGGATACGTTGACTTTTATTTCTTGAGGAAAACGGAAAAAACGTCAAAGGTTTCTCAGCTGATGATCCGCAGAAATTTGTTTTTTACGCAAAATCGATTTAAAAAAATATTTCTGTAGCAAAAAATCCTGACCTGATTGAGCAAAACCAAGGTCATTTTCAGACTCAGAGCATCAACATTAGTAGATTCAGCTGGAAAACCCTTTTGTTACCCAGTGTTATTACTGAAAAATTACAAATCCATCCATCTGATATTCGGTCAGTCACTTTTCCTGCTGTTATTGTTACTATAGTTTCTGCTGTTCATATTCTCCGCTGCTAAAGTACAAAATACATATCTGTAAATACTTCTAAAACAAGTGCAATTGTAGCTTCAAAGTTTTTTTTATTTACCATCTTATTATTTGAATTCTACTGTCTATTATTTTACCTTAATTTGATGTGTGCATCTGAGGCTTATTTCCTTCTTTCTCTGCTGTAATGTGTGCAACAATGACATTTCCCCGCTGTGGGACCAATAAAGGAATATTTTATCATATCCCTTGTTTGCTTGTCCAGCTGAAGGTGTTCTTGAGCCGGGACAGTATGATGCAGTACACGCTCCGAGACGCCGAGGGGACCATGGCCCTCGTGTCCAGCACCGCCTCGCTCTACATCAAAGTGTCTCAGGGCTGGAAGGAGATACAGGTTCGACAACACACCAGCAGCAGACAACACAACACTATGGATCCCTTTGGCAGAACACATACGACACTGTGGGACCTTCCTAACATTTAAACCAGTCCTGAAACATTGGTTGAAATCAAACTAGTCATGCACTTTTGATACAAATCGTTGAGGTCTTTCTTGTTCATGTTGTAATAATGAGTGTTTGTTTCTCAGCTCGGAAGTCTGATCTACGTCTCCAACAACTTTATTCCACAAGACGAGGTAGCAGCTGTTCACAAATCATTACAAACTGTTGGAAGAGTTGGTGTTTATAATTTTGATTTCCACATCTTTAGCCGAGTAACGCGGTGGCGTATCAGGTCAGAGGGCCCACGATGGAGAGAGTGCAGTCGGCAAAAGAGAGAGTAGGTATCACTGATATATGGGGTTGTTTCTGTTTTTATCATGCCAGAGTCCAGGGTCCTGTCCCATTGTGGTCTGGGTCTGTCTCTCAATGTGGGCCTTCCCAAGGTTTTGAGTTGTTCCCATAGACTATAAATATTAACAGAGGTAGTCAAGTCTATCTCCGCCATCATGTGCCATTACTTTCGCCGTCTATGAGCAGTTTAAAAATGGCCGCAGGGAGCTGGAAATGTGAAAAAAACGCATCTGTGCATGCGTCAGCTGCACAAGCCCCATTCATTTAAACGAGTGACTTCTAAAGTCCACAGCGACTAAACTAGACTGGTCAAAAAAAATCACCCCCCTCAGCATTGACACACATGTGGAACGGAGCTTTGGGCCAAGAGCCAACTTTTGGACCATCCTGTAAAGACGTTTTTGAGAGGTAAGAAGATACATACATTAGCATTGAATAATTCTTATTCCGGGTCCACCCCCACTGGCCCAGGGTGGTATTGCAGCATGTCAGTGCTCTTCATTTTGGACATTTTCGAGCCGGGACCCGGCCCCACTGGTGGTTCCTCGCTGATGCACGAAGGTCTAAGGACAGTGATGATCCAGGACATTGAAGGACATTTGACAACATTTATGGACAGTGTTAATCCCACTCCCAATGGACCAATGGCTTCTCTGTGTTTGTTATTATTGTGTGTCCTGTGTTGTTGAGGAATCGACAACTTTGTAATGTCCTTGGAGACGACTGCTGTTGTGATGTAGGGCTACACACAAATAGATTGAATTGACATGAATACCATCAAGTGAATGAAGCCAAAGTAGATGCAGCACGTCTATAAAGCTAAGCAGGACAGGGCCTGATTAGTACTGTGATGGGAGACCTCTGGGAACACCAGATACCACCGTGGGGCAGCAGTGGCTGTAAAGTGGTAGTTGTGTAGTTCGGCAAAAAACTTCGCCCACATCAGACTGAGTCTGGTGTGTGTGTGAATGGTTGGTGGTGGGAGGGGCCAATGGCACAGACTGGTTGCCTCACTTCTGTCAGTGTGCCTCAGGGCAGCTGTGGCTACAGTAGCAGTTTATCACCACTGTGTTTGGAGTGAAAGAATAATGACGTGAAGCGGTTTTGATTGTCCTGAAAATTGCTTTATAAACTGATGCGTTATTATTATCATTATTATATTATTATCCTGTTTACAGTCTATGGTTGAAACAGGGCAGTTTTCTAACCCTGTGATGTTTTGTCCGCAGTTGACGCTGGTGGCTCTGAACCAGCCTCACTCTGGTCTGATGCTGGGACTGGACTCTGCAGACCGTCTCTGTTACGAACAGGCCAAAGCCATGGGTCTCTCTCCGGACTACAGAGCCTTCATCTCCTCCCAGAGACAAGACCTGATGCACGTGGTCTATCCGGGACACAGGGACCTGCCAGTCACCAACCTCAGGGTAATTATCAAGCAAAGATATTAATCTATAAACGTTGATATTTCTTGAACAGACTCAGTCATTTTTTAGTGTCAGATGCTCAGATGAACAGACAATACTTTCAATAAAAGGTTTAGTGTTAATTAAAATTACTAAATTAACATCTGCTTTTCATAACATCTGTTGAACAAATATGTCACTTTTGTCATTTTTAGGGAGACATTTTATTCAGAAGTTGGAGGTCCATATTCAGTGGAGACAGAGCTCCAATCAACACCCGGATACCCATCTACTCTTTTGACGGTCGGGACGTGTTAGCTGATCCTTTCTGGTAAATACAGAGAAATATCCTGCATCATTTTAAACCGTCAAAAGTGATAATGAGCCTATTTACTTTGTTTGTTTGTTTTTGATGTGATGTCACAGTGTTACAATGACATCTGAGGAATCCAGCTGGGACCATAATATCTGAATAAGTTTTGTCAACAGCAAATCTATAACCAACACAAAGAGAGTTCTGCGGCCACATGGTACTACATGAGTTCTGGCAACCCGGAACACAGACTTTCTGATTGGTAGAACGGTGGAGGGTGGGCATCAAAATCAAAACAATAACAAGATTTAGGGGCGGGAAAACTAATTTTATTACTGTTATTAAAGAAGTATTGGATAGGAACATGTTTTATTAATGCCTTTGGACAGATTAGGACCCTTTAATGATGACTTGACATGAAAATCTTATATATTGCTACTTTAAATCTAGTACAAAGCTCTTGGATTGATCACACGTTAAAAGTATGGCATAAAGAAGCCAGAGTTTGTGACATTGGTGGTGTGCTGAACAACTTTTGCTGGGTCGCTAATGGGGATTGGGAGCAGCCTCTTTCAATGGACTTCAACCAATTCTTTGAACTGGCGGGAGCACTGATGGAAAAATTTCACAGGATACTTTATATCGCCGCAGCAAAGTCAATTTAGGAACAAAACAGCAGAGTGCTGGAGAAAATGTGGTTCCTCGGAGGCAAACCATTTTCATATATTCTGGGAGTGTCCTCTGTTTAAGCAATACTGGGTTGGAGTCCATAAAACATTGAATGAAGTCTTCCAGGAGCCAATCTCTAACAATTTTGCATGTTTGTATTTGGGTTTGGCTCCAGCATTGGTTCGGAGGGAGACATAAGGCTGCTGCAGGCTCTTTTGGCTGCAAGTAAAAAATCTATCACTAGAAAATGGCTGAACTCAACACCACCTTCAGTAGAGGACTGGTATGGGACAATTCTAGACATTTTCAAAATGGAAAAATTGACATATGCTTTAAGAACACAAATGGATACATTCTACGCATTTTGGAACAAATGGATCGATTTTATTTCCCCGAAATGACTTTTCTTGACTCTAATTGCATCTGATGTTTACTGTATGAACATGTTTTCCTTTTGTTGTAACAAGTAAGAAATTGAAACTGTAAGCACCCATTGTTTGTTCTGTTCCTTTTTGTTTGTCTTTTATTTTGATTTAGTTGTTCTATATAATTTACATTATTACTAAAATATGAGAAGGATCACAAAACGACAAAATAACGATTATACGTTTTTGTAATGTTGTGACCCTTTTCTTAATAAAAATCTAAATCTAGTTCAAAGACACACTTTTAACACCAACATTTACTTTTTCATCTTTTGTGCCTGTGAAGCACTTTAGAGAGCTGGTGTAAATGCGCTACACAAATAAAGCTGACATTGATATTGACCATAAACTTTAATGATCTTACAATGGAGAAACTTACTTCAGTCACATTTGGCATGGATAGAATCACTCAGTCCTCTCTGTTCTTCTTGCGCAGGCCTCAGAAGCACATATGGCACGGCTCGACCAGCAGGGGGCACCGCATCGTGGACAAACACTGTGAGAACTGGGGAGCGGAGCACGTGTCTGTGACGGGCCAGTCCTCCAGCCTCCACTCAGGACTCTTACTGGGACAAGAGACTCGCAGCTGCTCCCACCAGTACATCGTGTTGTGTATAGAGACGCACAAGAGCCACTAGATTGTTGTGTACGCACCGCGACCACACAAGAGACGACGAAGAACTAAGGCTGACGGTGGATGTTACTGTTTTCAGATGAATGTTTATTTATTTATAGCTCGACTGGTCTCATTACGCTTCGTCATGACAACGCAAAAGCCAACACTTTCACAACAAGGTGCTAGATGTTAGAAATAGAGTGTAATTTAGTACTTTAGGAAATATTGTATGTAAAGACAGAGTTTCTTGATTCAAAGACAAAACATGCAACATTGGGAAAACTTTCCTTTAGAACTATTTTAAAAATTATTCTGATTTTAAAATGAGGTTGTATAGTTTAGTATTTAGTTTATTGTTACGCAACCAGAGAAAGTGTTCATCTGTGATCAATCCCATGTGACGGAGCTCTCCTCTCAAAGACACTACGAGTAATTCTTTATACACACTGCAAAAAGTGAATAGTTATTATCTTGGTTCAAGTTTATTCACTCTTAAAACCATATTTCCCTTTGGAACAAACAAAAATCTTTATCTTAATTATAAGTCAAAGATGCTTCACATGGCATTGTTCATTCTCTTATACACACTAGTGATAAACGCTACTGTAGCCACATCTGCCGTGGGGCACAATGACAGAAGCAAGGATACCAGTCTGTGCCATCAGCCCCTCCAATCACCACCCACCATTCACACACACATCAGACTCATTCTAGGCAATGTGGGTGAAGTGTCTTGCCAAAGGACACAACAACAGTTTGGCACTTTACAGTTATAGCCGCCCAACATGTGGTCCCCAGAGGTCTCCCATCACAGTACTAACCAGGCCCTGCCCTGCTTAGCCGTATTCTGATGGGATCTGGCTTTCACTTGATTTTTTTCCTTCCAAGTGAGAATTTGCTCCTCTCATTGGAACATATTGTTTTAAGACAAAAAACATTTACAAATGTCTATAATCTACTTGTTGTCATATTTGCAGTTTGACATTTGTTACACATTATTTTTGACTTTTTATGATTTAGACGCCCAACAGTTCCTCTGACATGGCACATACACATGGAAATTACAGCAACACTAACCTCTCAAACCTCAAAAATATCACCAAATAAGTCCCAGGGAATCAAACTAGAGCAGCCTTTTGTCTATTCTATGTTAGGTATAGACTATTTTGCTAATATTTTTGTACATTTCAAACTATAAGCCATTTTTTCAACAACCAGAGCTGGAAAGACACAACTGAAACCCAAAGACATTCAGAAAGTCTTTGACCGTTTCACTCAATAAGTAGCTTTTTCTACTGAGCAGAAATAGAGTTAGGGAAAGAAATCAGCTGAAGAACATGTTATTTTAGTTTATTTGTTAGTGTAAAGATTAATATTTGTACTTTTTTATTTTGTGTACCATCCAGTCTCCACCAAAGTCTTAGCCTGGCCTGAGTTATCCGTAAACTCTGGTCCATGACCATTTCCTACATGTGAGTCTGGGTCTGATCCCAGTTATTGTAATAGATCCATGGTCTGACCAATCAGAGAGCGGGGGAGGCGGGTGTTGTTTTTTCCGGTTGTAGTTTGGCAATGACGACGAAGGTGATAGTAAAGAAATCTGTTCTGGTTAGGCTCAAAATATCAAGAAATTGAAGTTGGAGCAAGAGGAATGTTTTACAAAAATATAATTGTTGGCAAAGATGTTGTGGTTCTACTCCAGACCGGCTCAGGGTTGGGTGGGAGGTAACCCCTCCAACCTGTTAACGGAGCTCAATGGAGCAACTCCAGACCTAACTATGAAATTAAATGAGTACGATGGTATGGTAAGACCAGGCTACCGAAGTCGTCCCAATGCACTGTTTCCCACATTTCAGCTTTGACTTCTGCTTGTATTTAATTGACTTCAGACTTATTTAAGCTGCTGCAGCACATAAAGATCCAGTGGAGAATGTAATTTATGTTTTGTTGTCCGTGTTTTGTACAGTGTGGTGTTTGTTTAAATATTGTTGCCATAAAAGTCCAACGTTTGTGAGTAAAGGATGTAGATATGTTTCAAAGAGACCAAATGAAAAGTGAATATTGTGGAGAAAGATGTTGGTGAATAAAGGTCTTTTCATAAATAGTTTCAGTTCATATTTTTGACATTCGTACGACCACAATAAAACGTTCATACAAATGACAGTACAGTACATACAATAGATACTAACCCGCTAGCTCAGTGAAGTGCGATAGGGAAAGTTCAGCACCGTGGTGAAGTTGGTTGGATATTGGATATTCGGCAGATATTCGGCAGATATTCAGAGCGGGGAAGCGATGATTTCGTCAGCCGGCCTGAGAGCAGCAAGGAGCGAACAAGTACTCGCACGAGTCTTCGCCTATATTTAGGGACCGTCAACATTTTACCCTACGCTAATTTTTCACTATCATGAAAGTGGATGTAAAAAAAGAGCGTAATGGCTAAATAATACAATAAATTCATAAACACTTTAAAAACATGAACATTGATGATTATAGCATTGAACAAAAGCCAATTAATTGTAATGTAAACATTTTAAATCACTTTGATCATTATAGTTACAGTATTTATTTATTTATTCAATAGCTTTTAAGGAATTTGACCCAGTGACCCCAAACCACTTTTAAATAATACTACTACCTGAGAGCTATGGGGCTCAGCCCTTGAAATTGTTCTTAAAAGCTTTTAACATTTTTTAATGATTTTTTTGGTTAAAAATACCTGTTTTTCTTCAATAGCTTTTAGGGCATTTGACCCATTTACTCCAAACCACTTTTAAATAACAGTACTAAATGAGGGCTATTGGGCTCAGCCCTTGAAATTGTGCTTAAAAGCTTTTAACATTATTTTTGGGTTAAAAATACCAGTTTTTCTTCAATAGCTTTTAGGGCATTTGACCCATTTACTCCAAACCACTTTTAAATAACAGTACTAAATGAGGGCTATGGGGCTCAGCCCTTGAAATTGTTCTTAAAAGCTTTTAACATTATTTTTGGGTTAAAAATACCAGTTTTTCCTCAATAGCTTTTAGGGCATTTGACCCATTTACTCCAAACCACTTTTAAATAACAGTACTACCTGAGGGCTATGGGGCTCAGCCCTTGACATTGTTCTTAAAAGCTTTTAACATTTTTTAATGTTTTTTTTTGGTTAAAAATACCTGTTTTTCTTCAATAGCTTTTAGGGCATTTGACCCATTTACTCCAAACCATTTTTAAATAACAGTACTACCTGAGGGCTATGGGGCTCAGCCCTTGAAATTGTTCTTAAAAGCTTTTAGCATTATTTTTGGGTTAAAAATACCAGTTTTTCTTCAATAGCTTTTAGGGCATTTGACCCATTTACTCCAAACCACTTTTAAATAACAGTACTACCTGAGGGCTATGGGGCTAAGCCCTTGAAATTTTTCTTAAAAGCTTTTAACATTTGTAAATGATTTTTTTGGTTAAAAATACCAGTTTTTCTTCAATAGCTTTTAGGGCATTTGACCCATTTACTCCAAACCACTTTTAAATAACAGTACTACATGAGGGCTATGGGGCTCAGCCCTTGAAATTTTTCTTAAAAGCTTTTAACATTTTTTAATGATTTTTTTGGTTAAAAATACCAGTTTTTCTTCAATAGCTTTTAGGGCATTTGACCCATTTACTCCAAACCACTTTTAAATAATAGTACTACCTGAGGGCTATGGGGCTCAGCCCTTGAAATTGTTCTTAAAAGCTTTTAACATTATTTTTGGGTTAAAAATACCAGTTTTTCCTCAATAGCTTTTAGGGCATTTGACCCATTTACTCCAAACCACTTTTAAATAACAGTACTACCTGAGGGCTATGGGGCTCAGCCCTTGACATTGTTCTTAAAAGCTTTTAACATTTTTTAATGTTTTTTTTTGGTTAAAAATACCTGTTTTTCTTCAATAACAACTGAGGCTTCAAAACTGTATCTTAATGCCACAATTCTTTCCCATATTAATTACTGTGTGACGAGTTGGTCTCAGGCCAATAAGACCACATTGTTGCCCATAGAAAGACTGTATAAGCAGACAGTAAAAACATTAGACAAAAAGAACATTTCTTATCACTATTGCAAAGTCTTTACCAAACATCATTTTTTGAAGTGGGAAAATTTGATAATGTATTCAGACGTAATTATGGTCTATAAAATTCTAAATGGGCTTGCCCCCCCCCCCATTGCAGGAGTTCCTACAGCTGAATGTAAACTCACATACGCGATCATCAAGCAGAGGAGATTGTAAAATCCCATTCAGAAAGACTTTATTTGGACAATCTGCCTTCTCAGTTCGCGCAGCACATTCCTGGAACTCGATCCCAACAGAACTGAGGAACCTGACCTCAATCCACACTTTTAAAAACTCTGTCAAGAAGTGGCTTGTGGACAATCAAAAATGTGAACATATGGTTTAAAGTCACAACCATTGATACTTTGCTGTATGGAAAACTGTGGTGTCTTGTGTATTGTCCCTCTGATCTTTTATCTGTGCTAATGTATCTATTTTACATATTTTACCAAATGTTACATGCCCTGTTTTGTTATGTCTCTGTGATGGTGTGTGTCTGTGTGTGGGTTTGTATGTGTGTGTCTGTGTGTGCCTGTTGTATGCTTTATCTTAATATCAACCTGCCATGGGACTACGAATGAAAATTAGCCTACATGGCTAACTCTGGCACATTTACATGTTGAAAAAACACATGTTGATTAATGTGCACTGTCCCAATTCAAATAAAGAATTTAAAAAAAAAAAAAAAAAAAAAAAAACTGGGGAATTTGGCTTTTAGCTGGGACTAAAGTTCCAATGCCGGCCTTTAAAACCTCAACATTGTGCTCACGGTTTCCACTATTCCTGATCAAATCAAACTGAAGTTTACGTGCTTTAGATTTCACAGGTAGAGCCAATGCTCTGGCTACGTCACTTTCATTTCCATGTTTTCTAGTCAAATGACGGGACATTTTGTGGCAGGACATTGAACAGTAGAGGCAGAAGTGCCTCTTGCTGTAAACTCTCCCCCCATTTTTCTTCTTTTGCAGCTGCATGATAACAATCTTATTTGCCTTTGGTTCGTCACTTTCCGAGTCTTGAAGAAAAGTGTTTTTGATTTTTCTTTTTCCATACTTTTTTACAGGTTTCTTCTTGACAGTTAGATCGTCAGAATCTGAGTCGACTTAATCAATTAGGGACTCTTGACTAAGCTGCACAAACAACAAATAATTTATAATAATTCTATATAACAATTTGAAGTCATGACTTGTAGTCAGCACTTACCAGTGGTTTGTAAGCGTGCGCTTCAGTGTGCTGCTCTGTGATTGGCTGCAGCCTAATGAACCACACACTTGCACCTTTTCTAGCCTGACACCTGATTTCCTCTGTTGTGCTGCTCCATGATTGGCTCCAGCCTCTGTTGTGCTGCTCCATGATTGGCTCCAGCCTGCTGGACTGAAATTGCCCCAGTGTGCCCCTCCTTGATATCCCGCAATCCACCACCAGGGTTCCGACACATAACACACTTTTTTCAGGAAAGTAAACCTCCAGGGGTCCTTTCCATATTTTTACAGAGACTGCATAAGGACTGTTAGAAAAGCATTACCCATTGATTATTAAGCTTGGACCAGTGGGGTCCGGTGTTCGGGCCCCACCACGTAAAACCAGTCCCCATGACGTGAGTGGAATCTCAAGTTATGGAACCCACCAGGAGTTGAAAACAAGTGCACGCACACACACACACACACACACACACACACATACTTGTCTTTATCATCTCGTGGGACCACCAGACCAGGACATGCATTGTGGGACCCAGCCTTTCTGTAGGGTTTACAGCAGCAAAAAAAATCAGGCATGGCCCCCTGGAGGTCCTGAACAGTAATATCACGTCAAAATCCAAGATTTCACAAACAATGTCCCACACCAGATTGTTACTATACTTCTGGGAACTTAACAGGTATTGCTATACTTGTGATGCCGAAACTTACACACTGTCAGGTTTTTAGCTACTTTTAGTCCCACACATACACACTGTCAGGTTTTTAGCTACTTTTAGTCCCACACATACACACTGTCAGGTTTTTAGCTACTTTTAGTCCCACACATACACACTGTCAGGTTTTTAGCTACTTTTAGTCCCACACATACACACTGTCAGGTTTTAAGCTACTTTTAGTCCCACGCATACACACTGTCAGGTTTTTAGCTACTTTTAGTCCCACACTTACACACTATCAGGTTTTTAGCTACTTTCAGTCCCACACATACACAATGTAAGGTTTTTAGCTACTTTTAGTCCCACACTTACACACTATCAGGTTTTTAGCTACTTTCAGTCCCACACATACACACAGTCAGGTTTTTAGCTACTTTTAGTCCCACACATACACACTGTCAGGTTTTTAGCTACTTTCAGTCCCACACATACACACTGTCAGGTTTTTAGCTACTTTTTGTCCCACACATACACACTGTCAGGTTTTTAGCTACTTTTAGTCCCACACATACACACTGTCAGGTTTTTAGCTACTTTTAGTCCCACACATACACACTGTCAGGTTTTTAACTACTTTTAGTCCCACACATACACACTGTCAGGTTTTTAGCTACTTTTAGTCCCACGCATACACACTGTCAGGTTTTTAGCTACTTTTAGTCCCACGCATACACACTGTCAGGTTTTTAGCTACTTTCAGTCCCACACATACACACTGTCAGGTTTTTAGCTACTTTTAGTCCCACGCATACACACTGTCAGGTTTTTAGCTACTTTCAGTCCCACACATACACACTGTCAGGTTTTTAGCTACTTTCAGTCCCACACATACACACAGTCAGGTTTTTAGCTACTTTTAGTCCCACACATACACACTGTCAGGTTTTTAGCTACTTTTAGTCCCACACATACACACTGTCAGGTTTTTAGCTACTTTTAGTCCCACGCATACACACTGTCAGGTTTTTAGCTACTTTTAGTCCCACGCATACACACAGTCAGGTTTTTAGCTACTTTTAGTCCCACACATACACACTGTCAGGTGTTTAGCTACTTTTAGTCCCACACATACACACTGTCAGGTTTTTAGCTACTTTCAGTCCCACACATACACACTGTCAGGTTTTTAGCTACTTTTAGTCCCACACATACACACTGTCAGGTTTTAAGCTACTTTTAGTCCCACACATACACACTGTCAGGTTTTTAGCTACTTTTAGTCCCACACATACACACTGTCAGGTTTTTAGCTACTTTTAGTCCCACACATACCAGGACATCTGAGATGACTTCTGTTGTGATTCAGGGCTATACAAGAATAAATTGTATTGTATTGTATTGTATTGTATTGTATTGTACGACTATTTGGACTTTTGTGATTTTAGATGTTACAAAATAAATTGAAATTAATTATTTAAATCCTATTCATGGGGTGAGTATACTCAAATCTGTAAAGTAATAGAAAATCAGACCATATATTTAACAAAACTCATACACTTTATTTGTATATAGGCTTTTTAGATCCACTCCAACACACAGTCTAGTTTTAAAGGCCTTTTAGATCCACTCCAACACACAGTCTAGTTTTAAAGGCCTTTTAGATCCACTCCAACACACAGTCTAGTTTTAAAGGCTTTTTAGATCCACTCCAACACACAGTCTAGTTTTAAAGGCCTTTTAGATCCACTCCAACACACAGTCTAGTTTTAAAGGCCTTTTAGATCCACTCCAACACACAGTCTAGTTTTAAAGGCCTTTTAGATCCACTCCAACACACAGTCTAGTTTTAAAGGCCTTTTAGATCCACTCAAACACAGTCTAGTTTTAAAGGCCTTTTAGATCCACTCCAACACACAGTCTAGTTTTAAAGGCTTTTTAGAGCCACTCCAACACACAGTCTAGTTTTAATGGCCTTTTAGATCCACTCCAACACACAGTCTAGTTTTAAAGGCCTTTTAGATCCACTCCAACACAGTCTAGTTTTAAAGGCCTTTTAGATCCACTCCAACACAGTCTAGTTTTAAAGGCCTTTTAGATCCACTCCAACACACAGTCTAGTTTTAAAGGCCTTTTAGATCCACTCCAACACACAGTCTAGTTTTAAAGGCCTTTTAGATCCACTCCAACACACAGTCTAGTTTTAAAGGCCTTTTAGATCCACTCCAACACACAGTCTAGTTTTAAAGGCCTTTTAGATCCACTCAAACACAGTCTAGTTTTAAAGGCCTTTTAGATCCACTCCAACACACAGTCTAGTTTTAAAGGCTTTTTAGATCCACTCCAACACACAGTCTAGTTTTAAAGGCCTTTTAGATCCACTCCAACACACAGTCTAGTTTTAAAGGCCTTTTAGATCCACTCCAACACAGTCTAGTTTTAAAGGCCTTTTAGATCCACTCCAACACACAGTCTAGTTTTAAAGGCCTTTTAGATCCACTCAAACACAGTCTAGTTTTAAAGGCCTTTTAGATCCACTCATACACACTGTCTAGTTTTAAAGGCCTTTTAGATCCACTCAAACACAGTCTAGTTTTAAAGGCCTTTTAGATCCACTCATACACACTGTACATTTTAAGCTATTTTTAGTTCCATTCAAACATGGAGTCAAGATGCTTTAGATACCTTTAAGTGAAGTTGAGTAAATCTCTTAAGTAACAGGAAAGCAAGTGATTCATTTTACATTTATTGAGTGAAACAATGCCTTACTGCAATTCTGTGTTTAGTCTCCAGAACTATAACAGTGTTTGGGTAACATAACGTTATCAGGAGTGCCAATAATTAAATCAGTCTTTGTGCTTAAAAAATAAACAATGTTTTAAGAACAAGACTAGACAAGTCTAACAGAGACTAGAAACATTTTCAAACAATCTCTTTGAGTGTTACATTTTCAAGTTAGAAACACTTATCGTAGTTCCTTTTTCCCGGAACACAGCAGGAGGTTATGAAGGACCATCACGTGCTTCTCCATAACATTAATCTCCTCCTCCTGCCACCTTCTCATGGTTGACATGTGGACTGAGGAATAGAGTAGACAGAATTAGCCACAAATAACATTACACAGTATTTAAACTGGACTTCGTACTTTTATATATTCCTTTTTTAACTGGTGAATTTGAGCTCATTGTAAAGCTTTTTCAGACTCAATTGTGTAATTGTCCTCATCAAGATCAAGATCTACAGCTTCCTCCTCAGTCAGAGTATGTGTCTTGTCTTTCTGGAAGACATACACACTTTAAAGACAATTTTAGATGAAGCCCATTAATAAAATATTTTGTGTGGCTAAGATTAGGCAAGGCTGCAAGTACACCATTGCCACTCCAACCCAATAGCTATTTTTTCAGGGAATATGTAACAATAGACAGAACAACAAAAAGCATTGCGTAACTTTTTATACCAAGTTATTATAGTGTCACTGTCAATATCAACCTCCACCGGGTCTATTCAAGTAAACAATAACATTAGTTAAACCAAAGTAGGTCATATCCGTATAGTGTAAATAATCAATGGGATACATAGTGTATTTGAATGAATATCCAATTAAGTTCTAGTAAACTATGAAAAAAGCAAAACTCTGCAGTTCCCTCAACATCAGTGGATCTGACGTGTGTGTCCTGGGTCTCTTTAGTATAGTAAACCCAGAATCTAGTTTTGAGTAGTGTCAAGGATACAGTTTGGATGCTCTGCAGTCCCTACAACAGTTGACCAAACATGTGTGTATTACGGATATCTTCAGTATGTACTTGCAGACGGTGAACTAAATGAGTGTTGTTTCTTGTGTGTTGTATGTCCAGTAATCTGAGACAATTGAAAGCAACGGTGGTATATATGCTTTCAAGCTGAGAATGTTCAAATCAAACCTTCCAAAAACATGTTTTAAATAAAACAGTTACCTTGTCAAGGCTTTCTGAATGCTGAGTATCTTGTTGACATGTTGCCCTCAGCAAAGTGGGTCAAGATTCCTGGTTCTCCTCCACCTAAAGACAAAAGAGACCATAGTACCAACAATGTTTGATACAACACTCAGGGATACCATCAATTAACAACCTCTTCTGTGATAAAGTTACAATGTAGAATTCTTCCTATCTACATCAACTTCCTCTTTGAGATTCAAAGTGTATTTGAAAGAATATCCAATTAAGTTCAACCCTGCCACTGTGGTCCCCATTACAACTCTGTATTGAAGTAGATTACTGACCAATCTGGAAGAAAAAGTAAAATACAAAAAAGCAATACCCAGAATTACGTTATAAATTCAGTTTAGACTAAACTCTGCTTATCATTCGTGGATCTGATGTGTGTGTCCTGGACTTCTTTAGTATGGTAAAACCAGAAATATTCACACACAAGACTTCAAAGACATTATTATTTACAGCTTAGAGAAGCTGCTGTGGTCCCCACAAAATGCAGACCTGAAGTGTGTGTCATGGTCCTCTCTAGTATAGTAAACCCAGAAAGATGCACACACAAGACTTCAAAGACATTATTATTTACAGCTTAGAGAAGCTGCTGTGGTCCCCACAAAATGCAGACCTGAAGTGTGTGTCATGGTCCTCTCTAGTATAGTAAACCCAGAAAGATGCACACACAAGACTTCAAAGACATTATTATTTTCAGCAGGGGTGTCCAAACTTTTTAGTAAGAGGGCCACATTAGTTCACCAGACTAGTTCAGGGGCCGACACTTCAGACTGAAAAACTGTCTTGACTTATATTTAAAATGATCTATAACAGAGCTGAAGTTGGCTGAATGACACATGTTTACCATCTCACCAGCTACATTAGCATCTTTAACGGAAGTTTGAGACCACCATCAAATACCATGTCAGCACCGTATGTACAAATAACAACTGAATTTGGCACTGGGCTTTAGAACGAGTCAATACTGTCTGAGCTGAAGTTGGCTGGATGACACAGTGAACTTGTGTTTATGATCTCATAAACCACTTTGGGTTAGCGAGGCAGAGGGCCACATAACATGACACTAAGGGCCGCATTTGGCCCCCAGGCCTGAGTTTGGACATGCCTGATTTACAGCTTAGAGAAGCTGCTGCGGCCCCCACAAAATGCAGACCTGAAGTGTGTGTCATGGTCCTCTCTAGTATAGTAAACCCAGAAAGATGCACACATAAGACTTCAAAGACATTATTATTACAGCTTAGAGAAGCTGCTGGTATCCCCACAAAATGCAGACCTGAAGTGTTTGTCATGGTCCTCTCTAGTATAGTAAACCCAGAAAGATGCACACACAAGACTCCAAAGACATTATTATTACAGCTTAGAGACGAGGTGCCAGCTCCACACCGCGGAGAGAACGCCGGAGACGCCCAGTCCCCTCGCTCTGTTGGCGGCCACCGCCGCGGCCCGCCTGCCGTGCTCCACGGGCCTCTCGAGTGGGACACTCGAGGAAGTTTGTGCACCTCAGTTCAGGTAAAACGAGTGACCCGTCACCCGCGTGGTCCCGAATGTACAGAAGTGTTTGCCGATCATATTTCACTGTGGCAAGTGAATCCCAGACGAAAAACAACAAAACACAGATTGTGCGCACCAGAGCGTTCACTGCGGCGCCCTGACACGGCGCCATCTTGCTAGTCCTCCTTGCTAGTCTGGGAAAAGCTTAAACATTGTATACTGCAGTGATTTTCTCCATGACTCACATTATTCTATGTTGTAGAATGGTAACTCCCCCTCTATACCACTGCACTTTTGCTTGGATTAAAACTTTCTATTTTTTTAATACTTATATATTTATTATCTTTTACAGTGTGCCATTTTTTCAATTTTTTTGTATCAGGTCTAGCAACAGTAGAAAGTGAAACGATTGACCACAACTATTATTATCCATCCATCCATCCATTTTCTTCCTCTTAATCCATTTCTGGGTCGGGGGGGTGGCAGTCAGAGCTGCACCCAGTCACAGAGCACCAGCCCCTCACTGATCCTCCTGCAGGTGCCACAGGTGCCTTTACCTTTCAGCAGGCGCTTCAGGCAAAGTGGGGTTAAATGTCTTGCCCAAGGACACAACGACAGCAGACATCAGTGGGAGTGAAGTAGGTCTCGTGGTGGACTCGAACCCACGACCTTCAGGCCCAAAGGCCAATGCTCTACACACTGAGCCACTGTCGCCCTACTATCATTATTGATATTTTTATTGGTGAATAGTTATTTTAAACGTTACTTAAACTTCTAACTGAAACTTACCTGCAAACCAACAGCATCTCCTTTCTCTCCTTTGCGCCCGTTCAGACCTGGACGTCCCTGTATTTCCAAAAACACAACATTCAGTACATTACACATTTTTGATGTAAGTCTCGTCTCAACACCCACTTTTACTCTCCGACTTTTACTCTCCGACTTTTACTCTCCGACTTTTACTCTCCGACTTTTACTCTCCGACTTTTACTCTCCGACTTTTACTCTCCGACTTTTACTTTCCGACTTCTAACACCACGTTTTGTGGTCCTACATTTCATCAATTTTATTGTTGTATTTTTATTTACCTAGAATAAAAGAATAATAGAATTGTTTTTATTTTATTTAATAGCTTTGATTTTAAGCTGGAAGACTTGATTCAAATGTGTAACTTTTATCTGTGCGGCATTTTGGTGTTTTATAAAATGTGCTACAAAAACAAAGTGTATTGGATTGGATTAGAGTTCGGAAAATTAGTATTTTTTGTTTCCCTTATCACATACATATACAAAAGTGATTCTTACAGGTCTTCCCGGAAATCCAAACTCTCCCTTTGGTCCAGCGGGGCCAACTGGTCCCTATAAAACATCAGCTCGATTAGAACATTAATATATTGGTTGAAGTTTCAGCATTTCTACATGAACTGGAAATATGTTCTGAACTTATTCTACATGAACTTACTGGTAATCCCGGAGGTCCATGCACACCAATGTCTCCCTACGAGCAAAACCATCAGAACCACGGACAATTTCACATCAATTCCATCGATCATGTTTGACGAATTCTAACCTTTGCTCCTTGGGCTCCTGTTGGTCCTTTTACGGCTGAAATCATGGTTCCATTGGCAGAAATAATAAACCCAGGTTCTCCTCTGTCGCCCTGCACACAAACACGGATTATTACAAGAGTAATGAAACGTTTATCAACGGTCTAAACAAGGTGCTCCGCTCTGTAAAGTGGACTGTGAGACCAGAGAGAGACCAGAGAGAGACCAGAGAGAGACCAGAGAGAGACCAGAGTGAGACCAGAGAGAGACCAGAGAGAGACCAGAGAGAGACCAGAGAGAGACCAGAGAGAGACCAGAGAGAGACCAGAGAGAGAGACCAGAGAGAGAGACCAGAGAGAGACCAGAGAGAGACCAGAGAGAGACCAGAGAGATAGACCAGAGAGAGAGACCAGAGAGAGACCAGAGAGAGAGACCAGAGAGAGATCAGTGAGAGACCAGAGAGAGAGACCAGAGAGAGACCAGAGAGAGAGACCAGAGAGAGACCAGAGAGAGATCAGTGAGAGAGACCAGAGAGAGATCAGTGAGAGACCAGAGAGAGAGACCAGAGAGAGAGACCAGAGAGAGAGACCAGAGAGAGACCAGAGAGAGACCAGAGAGAGGACCTTGGACTGTGAGCTTCCTATTCTGGAGGTTCTTTATGAATGAATCCAGACTCTTAATCAATGACTCTTCTGGCCACCCTGGAAAAGCCATGTTCCAGCTTCTTCCCTCTGGCAGAAGAAATCGTTCGCTAAGATGCAGGACATCTTCTTTCCACAAGCTGTTATCAGTTTAAACGAAGAAACTTTAAATGATCTTGCACTTGTATTTATACTGTTTTAGTCGATCAATTCCACATTATGAGTTGTTTCCTGTTGTGTCTGTTTTTATTCTTGTACTTGTCTAGTGCACACTGATGACTTTCGCAGATGTATTCAAATGTGGTTTTACTGCAAATGGCAAATAAATATGAATCTGAATCTGAAATCTGAGAACCCCTTTCTGTGCGTATAGTGTGTATATAGTAATGTAATTGTTAGCGTCTCTATCCCAACTGCCAGACTCTAAAACAGTGCCTCACAGTCTCTGCAGTAAGCTGCGGTCACAAGCAACAAGCTAGCAATACACTGCCGGGGTCTAATCTCCAAACCAGATCTTGTCCTGAGTGTTTTGAATGACTTCTATCTTCTCACCTTGAGTCCTGGAGGGCCCTGGATACCTGGTAATCCCAGATCACCTTTTGGCCCCTGTGCCCCCTGGTGGACACAGAATAATATACAATTAATAGTTTGGTCATTTTGGACACATTTAATTTAGTTTAGTTATAGTTATTGTAATGTTCACTAATTATAAATGCATGATTTAGTAATGGCTCTGCGACGGAAAAGAAGATGTAGATCTCAATACTTTCATTCAAGACATCAGTTTATTCCATTCAGTGTATTTAGGTCAATTATTTTTGTCTTTATTTCTTGTTTTTGATATTTTAATTTTCTCCAAAAGAAATATTACGGTGGAAAAAAATACTTACCGTTGCTGAAAAAACGTCCAAAATCTCGGAGACATTGAAGGCACCATCTGTGTCATTCACAAACTGCAGAACAAAGCAGGAACATTGGACTTTCCCGGGACTAAATAAAACATGTGTGCTTTTATTTTACTTATGTATTCTTGTGTCCCTGCTGCACTGACCTGCTGTAGGTTGATGATTTGTCCTGGAGCTCCAGGAGGTCCTGGAGCTCCTGGCACCCCCACCGCATCACGCCCTGGTGCTCCCTGGGAAAGGACAGAAGAAGAATAAGTACATTCAGTATAAAGTCTATATAGTTCAGTATGGAGTCTATATAGTTCAGTATGGAGTCTATATAGTTCAGTATGGAGTCTATATAGTTCAGTATGGAGTCTATATAGTTCAGAGTGGAGTCTATATAGTTCAGTATGGAGTCTATATAGTTCAGTATGGAGTCTATATAGTTCAGTATGGAGTCTATATAGTTCAGTATGGAGTCTATATAGTTCAGTATGGAGTCTATATAGTTCAGTATGGAGTCTATATAGTTCAGAGTGGAGTCTATATAGTTCAGTATGGAGTCTATATAGTTCAGTATGGAGTCTATATAGTTCAGTATGGAGTCTATATAGTTCAGTATGGAGTCTATATAGTTCAGTATGGAGTCTATATAGTTCAGTATGGAGTCTATATAGTTCAGTATGGAGTCTATATAGTTCAGTATGGAGTCTATATAGTTCAGTATGGAGTCTATATAGTTCAGTATGGAGTCTATATAGTTCAGTATGGAGTCTATATAGTTCAGTATGGAGTCTATATAGTTCAGTATAGCAGTGGAGTCTATATAGTTCAGTATGGAGTCTATATAGTTCAGTATGGAGTCTATATAGTTCAGAGTGGAGTCTATATAGTTCAGTGTGAAGTCTATATAGTTCAGTATGGAGTCTATATAGTTCAGTATGAAGTCTATATAGTTCAGTATGGAGTCTATATAGTTCAGTGTGAAGTCTATATAGTTCAGTATGGAGTCTATATAGTTCAGTATGGAGTCTATATAGTTCAGTGTGGAGTCTATATAGTTTAGTTTAGGATGGAGTCTATTTTGTGTGTTCTTTTAACTAAAGATATAATGGAAAGGAAAACTCTTGCACACAGTGTTAATAGTGTCCTACATCTTTGAAAATCCCAAAAAGAAAAATACTTTGCTTTGTTCAAGGAGGGAACATTAAAGCTACAAATGGAAAAAACAATTCTTATGATGAGCATTGTGAATCTGACTTGGATGAGTTTTGATTGGACCTCGTTCAGAGATCACAATTTTACAGAAAAATATGTGAAGCAAGTTTAGCGTTTCTCTAACCACAAACCTAACACTACTTGTTCTGAGTGCACCATTCCCAGTGTCAAATATGGTGGGGGCAGCATCATGCTATGGGGCTGCTTTTCTTCAGTGGGGACTGGGACAAATGTAAGAATAGCTGGGAAGATGGATTGAGCCAAATACTGGGAAATAATTACAATTATTGTTCTTATGTGATGACCTACCTTTTGTCCTGGATCACCTTTGTCCCCACTGGGCCCCTGTAGAAATCAGAAACGTTTAATAAGCATCATGTTCACTTAAAGCTGGGGTACCTAACTTTGAAGTCACAAAAAAAGGAAAGTGCAATAAAATACGTCTAATAAGTCACCATTCTAACAGATTTCTTCAATCACTCGTTTCCCATGTTTCTGGAATCTGTAATGTCTTTAGATCAACTTTTTCAGGCAGAAAAGTGAGAATCAGCCCAAAGGGTCAAATAGTGACTCATGGGGCTCTTTTTTAGTTCACAAAAGATGTCAGGTACCACAGTTTTAACACACATATTTAGTTGATATTTGATCACATACCCGTTCCCCCTTTATTCCTTCCAGTCCTGGGAATCCTGGTCTTCCAACATCCCCGGCCTCCCCCTGTAAACATCATGGAACAATCTAAAAATGAACAAAGCAAGAAGCAAACGAAAAGTCTTGCTATAAAAGTAGGAAAAAAACCTTTTGACCCGGTTTCCCTGGGGCTCCGTCTGCTCCATCGTTTCCCTAAAATAAACATTATCTTTTAAACAAAATGTCATGCAACAAGTGACAAGAGAAAATTAGGCCGTTATTTTCTTACCCTCGGTCCAGGAAGTCCAGGGATTCCAGCGTGGCCCTAAGAGGAGAAAAAGGCCTGGTCAAGCTAAAAATATTACTTTAATACAAAAATGTGTAAATGTTTCTCAAACTGTGGTCCTTGTCTCATCAATGTTGTTGTATCTAATGTTTTTATGCAGTTTTGTTGTTTCCAATTCAAAAAGATACTTTAGTCCTGCTTTAGTCCTACCGTACCATACCATACCATACCATACCAGCTTAATTTATAAAGCACTTTAAAAACTTTACAGTTCAGCCAAAGTGCTGTACACAAAAACAAACACAATGACTAAAAAATACATATATAAAACAATATTACCTAAAATCAAACATTATCAAAAGAAAGTGAAAAAAGAAGTGACTTAAAGACAGGCAGAGACTGAGCCTGACTGGTCTCAATGGGACTGGTCTCAATGGGACTGATTCTAAAGACATGGACCTTGAAGCTTACGCTGTGTCTTCGGGACCACCAGCATCAGCTGATCTCAGGGCGCCAGAGGGAACATAGGGCAGAACAAGATGACAGAGCTCTGGTGTGTGTCGTCTGGTGCACACTAGGGTAGTCTTGCACAGTTTTTCCTATGTGGTTTTACTGCAAATGGCAAATAAATGAATCTGATCTGACTCTGATCTGATCAGAGGTAGGAGGGGCCAGGCCATTTAAACATTTAAAAGTAAATAAAATAATTTTAAAATCAATTCTAAAACCAACTGGAAGCCAGTGCAGTCCTAGTTCAGTCCTGCTTTAGTCCCACTTTAGTCCTACTTTAGTCCTGCTTTAGTCCTGCTTTAGTCCTGCTTTAGTCCCACTTTAGTCCTACTTTAGTCCTACTTTAGTCCTACTTTAGTCCTGCTTTAGTCCTACTTTAGTGCTACTTTAGTCCCACTTTAGTCCTGCTTTAGTCCTACTTTAGTCCTGCTTTAGTCCTTCTTTAGTCCTACTTTAGTCCCACTTTAGGTCTACTTTAGTCCCACTTTAGTCCCGGTTGGTACATGACTATCTGGTGTAGATGAAAACATTACCTGTGAACTTCTGCCCAGCTGTGGACCGAAGCCGCTCTGCTCCTCCTGCTCCATGTCCTAAACACAATCATCACTGACTTTTCACATTATTTTGACCAATAATGTGATATTGGAATAATCCCAAGGCACATTAATGAACCTCGGCACACTGGTTGAATAACTCTGGCCTAATGATGTGCTCTGACGCCGAGATTATTCAGAGTAAGAAAGAACAGAGACACAGTATGGTCCCTTTCATGAATGAGATGTGCTATACAAACACATGTCCTCCCCTCTTACCCTAAGTCTAATCAAGCAGCAAACTTCATAATTACATCGATTGAGTTGTTGTTACCTCGTAGTCCAGTGCGTAGCCGCGCTGTGGGGGTCCTGGAGGTCCCGGAGGGCCAGGGGGACCGCGGGGGCCGGGCTGCCCCTCAGGACCCTCTGATCCTGGGACACCGGGGAAACCAGCCGCCCCCTGCTCTCCCTGGACAGAAACTAGACCAGATCAGGGCGGGACCAGACCAAGTGTAAAGTCATTTATTTATGTTTCACAATAGTCTTCGTTTCTGTGAAAAGGTGGTCGAGGAATTGCTCTTTTTTGAACATACTAAGATTAAATTAAATACTGTACATTGAATATAGTTGAAGTGTTTTTGTTTCGGTGTCTCCCTGGTGTGGACTTTATGTTTCAGGCTTGGCTCCTGGTGGGTGTGGTCTCGGAGCAGACCCAGCTCAAGTTTAGACAAAGACTGTGCTCTTTGTCTAAACAGTAAACTCTTTTGACGTTTACTGACATATCTTCGATTCAGGATATTTTGTGTTCCCAGTTCCTATCGCCTGCTCAGAGCCCCCACAGGACCAAGCCTCGTGCTTAGTTAGTCCAGACAGAAATAAATACATATTGTTAAATGCCCTTTTTGTGTCTGCTTTGAGAGAGATAGACTGACAGATACTTTATTGATCCTTGTAGGAGAACTTCAGGTGTCCAGCCGCAGAAACATATCCATCCATACAAACAAAACAAATAACTACATCAGTAGCTAACAATGAGGGCCACTCCTCAGCCCTGACGTATAGGATCTGAAACGTCCCCACTGCAGGACAATAAAGGATTTCTTAATCTAAATCTGTTGAAACCTCCACTGACATGATTAAAAGTGACAGATTAAAACAGTTACCTTTGGTCCTGGTTGTCCGCTTACACCCGGCTCGCCCTGAACAATCAACACACAAATGTATTCACAAAATCTTTCCACATTTCATCATTTATTCTCTCCGCTACAAGAAACTCACCTTGTCTCCTTTGAGCCCGGTGGATCCTGGCTCTCCAGCTTTCCCGTCAGATCCCTTCAAAACAAACACTGAAGATGATATTTGACAATGATGCAGACCATACTCCGGTTGGTTTTCTACAAAAACAACACTTGTCACTAGTAATAGTCAAAAGTAACTAGTCATGCAGCTCAGAGCAGCATTCAAGCCAAGGCGCTATTTACAAAAGACACATTTCCCCAACTCCCTGCAGCAGAAACCATGTTCACTCATAATATGCTTACATAAAGGTCCAACTTCAGGCTTTTCTAATAAACATTATGAAGACCTGATGCTAAAGTGTGCACAGAGGCCACTTGGAATCTATATGAAGTTTGATTCTGGAAAAATGTGGTGAGATTTGAAGCTTATATTTCAGTAGGAGTGGTGACAAAAACAGCCGCAGCGATCACAGATGAAGCTTGGGAAGGCTAGAGGCTACATGGCTAACTTATGCTAATTATTCTAATTATTGTCTTTATTTTTTGGAATCCTGAGAGTTTATATCTCACAGCCAATCAGGGGCAAGGGGCGGGCATTCCCACTCACACAGGGACATGATTGGTCAGTAATTATTATGCATATGTCGATTTTACAAAGACACAATGACATACAAACAGCAGGTTAGATTAATTTACTGAAAATATCATAAAAGACACTTCTATTTTGGCAAGTTTTTTTTTTGCTTGAATTTAGTGTGAGATTGTTTTACTAGTTTTAAGATACTTCATAATCTTATTAGAGAAAAAGTCTGAGCTGTGAGTTTTTAAGCTTTTTTAAGTATTTTCATTTTTTCCAGAAAACTGTCCTTGTTTACATAAAATAAGTTTGTGATGCTGTAATAAAACATTTCTCTTTAAGAAAAAGTAAATAATACTTTTTTAAAACTTTTTTAAAACTAGAATCACGTCATATGGGGCTAGTTTTATTCTCTTGATCTATTGGAAGATATGTTTTTCTTATTTTAAGCAATATTTTACATGTTTTCATAGTTTTTTTTTCTTATTTTAGGCAGGATTTGACCTATTTTCATATAATTTTTCTCCATTTGTGAGTCTAGTTTTATTTTCAAAGCATTTTAACCCATTTAGCTCCATCTTTTCTGCCAGTAACACTGTGAGGAATCTTGGAGTCATTTTTGACCAAGAACTCTCCTTCAAGGCTTATATAAGCCAAGCAACTAAAACGGCGTACTTCCACCTACGGAACATCGCTAAAATTAGGAATTTCCTTCCTAAAAGTGACGCGGAAAAACTCATTCATGCGTTTGTCACCTCAAGGCTCGACTACTGTAACGCTTTACTGGCAGCGTGCCCTAAAGCCTCTTTGAAGAGCTTCCAGCTCGTTCAGAATACAGCAGCTAGGATCTTAACAGGTACCAAAAGGAGGGAGCACATAACTCCGGTGTTAAAATCACTCCACTGGCTCCCTGTGGAGTACAGAATAAAGTTTAAAATCCTACTCTTAACATATAAAGCCATAAATGGCTTGGCTCCTTCTTATCTCCAAGACACGTTAGTGTCGTATCAACCAAGTCGAGCGTTGCGCTCACAAAACGCCAGACGTCTGGTGGTCCCTAAGGTCTCAAAGGTCACTGTTGGTGGCAGAGCATTTAGCTCCAAGCTCCTTTACTGTAGAATCAGCTTCATTTATGTTAAGGAAGCAGATACGGTCTCCACATTCAAGGCCAGGCTTAAAGCACTCTACTTTAATTTAGCATATAATTAGGTAATATATAATATATGGTATATATTATATATATATGCTGTATTATGTTATATATTATGTTATATATTATACAATATATGTATTATGTTATGTATTGTGTTATGTTGTATATTATTGTGGTGGTACACCTGTTTTGTGAGCGCTCCTATCAGCGCTCTGGCTTGTAGTATTTAAGGACAGCCCTCTCCCGTACACTCCTGTTTTGCCTCGCCTCTGACGTCGGGACGCTGCTCGCTGGTGGCGTCCGAAGCACATGTTGCTTTAGATCCAGCCTTTACACCGGCTTTGTGGCCCAGCGGGCACGCTTCTTTCAATCTGCGTCTCGATTGTCTGTGATGCCGGCACAGCCGTGGAGTGGGGACAGAGCGCGGTTATTGCGCAACCCCTCCGCAGGTGCAGTGCTCGGCTCTGTTTGAGCCGCGGGCACGCATCCTTTACCGCATACACAGTCCACTTGTAATACTGGGCTCGTGTGTGCGCGCATCTTGGGCCCCTGGCCCCTGGTGACTTATGTGCGGGCTCCTTGGAGGGCTACATTTCTGAGTGAGTCTGCCCTTCTGGTACCCGGAGAAACATGACACCCTCGCTGCTGCATCACGGGCTATTCAAGCTCCGCGGGTACAGGCCCACATCCATCGGACTCCCCTCAGTGCGGGGCCACGGAGGCGCGTGGGTCCGATTGGAGGCGCTTGGGCCGAGAACGTGCTGGAACCCTAGGGGACTGCTGCTGCTGAGTGGAACAATGGCTGGTGCTATGAGACTTGGGTGTAGCTCTGACTGCCACCCCCCTGACCCAGAAATGGATTAAAGGGTAGAAAATGGATGGATGGATGGATGGGTCCCAGTTCCCATATACTGGGTGGCGTTGCTGGTAATATTTCTACTTAATTAGGCCAAACTTCCAAATTCATAGTCTCGACCACTACAAACGTGGCGTTAGCTGACAGGATGGACTGACGTTGGATAGAGGCATTTTATAAATTAAATCATTGTTGGTCTTTGTGAATAATTGTATGCAGTGAATAAGTGTATGCATACAGCTCTGGTGTAGTTATAGCAATAGCGACAGTGGGAAAGGGAAGTATTATATGCATATTAATTTTTCATTTGATGTGATGTATTTGTGTGCCTTATTTGCATTGCATGAAGTGTTTGTGATTTTGGTTTTCTATATTTTTGCATGTTTCTGATTTAATTATATGCATAGAAGTACTTTATTTTTTTTGCTACTGTTTAGCTTGTCTATTTATTCTCCTGCATCATAAGTTGTTCCATTAATGTACATTAATTATTCACCTCTTATCGGTCAACAGAATTGGAGTTTTTGGAAGCAACCAGCAGCAGCATCCCCCTAGAGTAATCATCTTTTTGTAGCCATGAATGACGAGCAGATTAGAGAACTGCAGGAAGCGCTGGCCGAATTGAGGGCCGAAAACGAACGCTTGCGACGAGAACGTACCCAGTCTTCCTCTAATTCAGGGGCTAGGCCATCCACTTCGTCGACTGAAACTTTTGCCCCTCTACATACTAATGTAAGCGCAGACCGCCTCGTGTTTGTTCCACGTGACCGTAGGTGCCCAATGTTTCGGGGTAGGAACGGTATAAGCTTAGTTGAGTGGTTGGAGGAGGCAGAAGCGTGTATGAGGGCCAGACATTTGACTGCAGCTGACCGAGCGTTTTTCCTTTTTGACCATTTGGAAGGGGAGGCTCGCGAAGAAATAAAATATCGCCCGGCCGAAGAACGGAGCGACCCAACAAAGATCACTGCTGTTCTGCAGGACCTATATGGGTGTGCAGAGTCGTATGTAGCACTTCAAGAAGCATTATTTTCCCGTCGCCAACAGGAGGGCGAGACCCTGTTGGAGTTTTCTCTCGCGCTAATGTCACTAATGGATAAGGTTAAACAGCGTGCCCCAAACATAATGCCAAATGCCGAAAATCTCATGCGTGACCAGTTTGTCGAACAGGTTGTAGATGGAGCTCTACGCCGTGCGCTAAAACAGTACGTACGCGGCCGACCTGAGGCAACACTGCTGGACGTCAGAGGTGAGGCTATGCAGTGGGAGCGTGAGGGGTTGCCCGCAAGCATGCGTGGCCGCAGTAATTCTGTCCCCTCCTCTTTTGGAATTCAGTACGCTGTCCAGGGAGGGTATCAGCGTGGTGTCAAACCTCTCCAAGCTACAGAGGTCAGCGAAGTTGAGGAAATGTTGCGGCGTCAACAAGAGCAAATTGATAGATTGTCGCAGAGCATTGCTTGCTTGCAGGTTCCCCAGCCGTTTAACCAGCGTAACTTTACCCGTAATGAACCCCGTGTTTGCTGGCGCTGTCAGCGGCCGGGGCACATTGCGAGGGACTGTGATGGGCAACGTGTCCCCCCTCGTTCGCAGCTGTCGATGGACGGGCACCCCCAATCAACCCGGCCGGCGGAAAACTAGCGCCCACCGTGCTGAATGGCCACAGTTCGAGTGGGCCTCCTTCTGGCCCCAACAATGCTTTGCGAAATCTGGAAGATGCACCAAAGTTGATTTCTTCATGTCCGCACATTGATGTTTGTATGAGCGGTGTCTCAGTGCCATGTCTGGTGGACACGGGCTCAATGGTTTCTACCATAACGGAGAGTTTCTTTTTAGAACATTTTGCACCTTGGGGGGATGATCGTCTTAAGGCTTGCCACTGGCTCAAACTTAAGGCGGCGAATGGCTTAGCGATACCGTACATCGGCTATATGGAACTGGATGTCACCTTGTGTGGGAAGCTAATGCCGCAGTGTGGCATCTTGGTCGTAAAGGACCCAGGAGGTGAAGCACCACCAGTGGTATCTGGCATCATAGGGATGAACATCATCCGCAAGTGTTACCAGGAGCTGTTCGGGGAACATGGACTCTCCCTTTTTGGGGCGGAGTCGTGCTCTTATCCCACCACCCTTATGAAGGCCCTGCAGCGGTGTCACAGAGTGCGCCTGCAGGCCCCATTGGACCATCCAGGTAAGGTGCGGGTACGGGGAAAGCAGCCCCACCACATCCCGGGTGGTTCCATGAAGATCGTGGCAGCAACATGTTCGGAACAGTTCTCAGAGGGAACAGTTTTGTTTGAACCTCCTGAGTATGGTCTACCGGCCGGCTTGCTGTCTTCGCCAGCCTTAGTACATGTCGTACGAGGGACTGCTTATATCCCGATTGTTAATGTGGGAACCACAGAAGTACTTCTTCACCCACACACCGTTATGGGTACGTTGGATCCCGTTCGGGTCGCCAGTATGCCCACAGGTGCTGACCAGAATCCAACAGTCACAGCACAAACCGCTTCACAGATTGCATCTGCGGAGGCGGACCAAATCGACGCAGTAGACCTGTCCAGTCTACCCCGGAGGATCAAGGTGCTGCGAGGACCCTTCTCCGGAGGTATGCTTCAATTTTTTTCACCTCAAACCAGGACTTGGGATGTACGGATTTGATCACACATGATATTCCTTTGTTGGGTGACATCCCTGTTAGACAACGGCATCGCAGGATTCCCCCATCAGAGTTTGAGCTAGTAAAAGATCACATTAACCAGCTTTTAGAGGCTCGTGTCATCCGTGAAAGTTCAAGTCCGTACGCCTCACCGATAGTACTGGTTCATAAAAAAGATGGTAGTCTTAGGCTTTGTGTGGATTACCGGCAGCTGAACCTGAAAACTCGGAAAGATGCGTTCCCTCTCCCGAGAATAGAGGAGACACTAGATAGCTTGTCAGGCGCCTGTTGGTTTTCCACCTTGGATCTGGCAAGTGGGTATAACCAGGTGCCGGTCACTGAAGCAGACAGGCCCAAAACCGCGTTCTGCACACCATTCGGGCTCTTTGAATGGAAAAGAATGCCCTTCGGGCTATGCAACGCGCCCAGCACCTTTCAACGACTTATGCAAAGGATCTTCGGGGACCAGCAGGGTCAGTCCCTACTCCTTTACCTTGACGACATCGTGGTTTTCTCCACCGACATCCAACAACATCTGCAGAGGCTTGAGGGGGTGTTGGGGCGTTTGCGGCACGAGGGTTTGAAGGTCCAGCTACGCAAATGCAGGTTCTTTCGCCGTGAGGTCCGATACTTGGGGCATATTATTTCGGACCAGGGGGTCTCCACTGACCCAGACAAGGTTGAGGCTGTGGCGAATTGGCCAGTGCCCACCAATGCCACGGAGATCCGCTCGTTCTTGGGATTCGCAAGCTATTATCGCCGCTTTGTGGAAAACTTTTCCAAAGTGGCAGTGCCGCTGCACAGGCGGGTGGCAGTCTTATCCGGAAAGTCGCAGAAGAGAAAGCCGGACCCGAACATCGAACCTTGGAGTGAGGAATGCCAGGAGAGTTTTGACTTGCTCAAGGCCAAACTATCGACCGCGCCAGTGTTGGCTTATGCCAACTTTTCATTGCCTTTCATCCTGGAAGTTGACGCGAGCCATAATGGCTTGGGAGCGGTGCTCTCCCAAGAGCAAGGGGGAAAAGTAAGGCCAATTGCTTACGCTAGTCGCGGGTTGAGGCCCACGGAGCGAAACATGAACAACTACAGTTCTATGAAACTGGAACTGTTGGCGCTCAAGTGGGCCATGACAGATAAGTTCCGCGAGTACCTGTTGGGCCACAAATGTGTCGTATTTACGGACAACAACCCGTTAAGCTACCTTTCTCATGAGAAGTTAGGTGCAGTAGAACAGCGTTGGGCAGCCTAGCTTGCATCGTTCGATTTTGAGATTCGGTATAGGTCAGGCAAGAGCAATGGCAATGCGGATGCCCTGTCGCGGTAAAGTTGTGTTGGTGCTGACCAACTTGCAGTGGTGGTTCCAGGCACACCTCTGCCCTTTTGCTTGAGGGACCTGGGACAAACACAGGTGCAAGTTGTCCAGGCCACCATTCAGGCTGCCATTGCTGCTTTTCCTGGACACACCTTATCGGACATTCAGGATTTGCAAAGGTCTGATCCTGTCATCAAGGCAGTGGTCTACTTCTGGGAGCTTAACCGTCGTCCCACTTATGAAGAACGTTGCCGGATGTCCCACCCTGCTTTGGTGTTGCTCCAGCAGTGGGAGCGGTTGGTAAAAAAAAGATGGGCTGCTATACCGGAAGGTCGACCGTCCGGATGGTGGGGAAGGGGTTTTGCAGCTTCTCTTGCCGAACAACTTGAGGGAGGAGGTCTTGCATCAAGTTCATCAGCAGCACTGTCATCAGGGTGTGGAACGGACCTTGTTGCGGTCACGGTGCTATTGGCCCGGAATGGCCAAAGATGTGGCTCAATGGTGTAGGGAGTGTGTCCGTTGCCAGGTCGCAAAGGACACCCGGCCTCCTGCCAGAGCATTGATGGGCCATCTCTTGGCGTCCATGCCCAATGAAATCATTGCCCTTGATTTCACTTTGCTGGAGCCTTCCCAACGGGATTTTGAGAATGTTTTTATTCTTACGGATGTGTTTAGTAAATACACCCTCGCTATTTCAACTCGAGATCAGCGAGCTCAGACTGTTGCTCAAGTTTTGGTTTCAGAGTGGTTCTCAAAGTTTGGCGTACCAGGACGCATCCATTCTGACCAGGGGCGCTGCTTTGAGAGCCGTGTGATACAGCAGTTGTGCGGTCTCTACGGGGTGGAAAAATCCAGGACCACCCCCTACCATCCGGCCGGAAATGGCCAGTGCGAACGGTTCAACCGGACAATCCACAACTTGCTCCGCGCCTTACCAGAGTCTCGTAAGCGGGACTGGTGTTCGTGTTTGCCACAGGTCTTGTATGCTTATAATACTACCCCGCACCAGTCTACTCGAGAGTCTCCTTTTCTCCTGATGTTTGGTCAGGAGCCAAGACTCCCAGTCGATTTCCTTTTGGGAAGAGTCGTGGAACCGACAGCCGGAGAACCTTGCGAGTGGATTGTGGAACATCAGACTCGGTTGCAACCATAGACGTCGGAACTAGGGGTGCGGGGGGTGCGGCCGCACCCCCTCCGCGTGTGCCGGGAGCGAGAAGTTATCACTATCCTGCGTTCCTTGCAGCCCAAAACCCGCTCCATGCTGTCGGAGAAGCTTATGAAGCTCTGTCTGGCTAATATCTGTCGCAGCCTCTGAGCGCTCTTTCTCAGCCTTGCGCAGATTAGAGACCTGGCTACACCAGTGACGTGCGGTGGGGGATCAATCATGTGTTCATATGATTATACATCATATAAACCAACAGGACCTACAGGAACAGGAGCGGCTTATACACAATTTGTTTGGCTACAGCAGAATATGATTTAATGTCTGCATAGTTTTCTCATACAAAACGCAAACGTTTGTAAAAAGTACAAAGTGTGTTATGGGCCTATACCTTAGGTATTAATGAACAGCACAGACCACTTCAGTTAGGACCAGTTTCATGTTTAAGTCCAGATAATAGTTTGAGCACAGACATGTAATCCTCCATTTGGAAATAAGTTCAATGAGTTTTAAAAAGTAAAAAAAACGGGTGTCTCCTCCGTAAACTGCAAGTTTTGCTGCAGCCGACTCCCGGGTAAATCCAATTTCTAAATTCAACCTTACCCTTCACCTCCTTTTCTTATGATTCATATCATCATTGGAAGCAAAACATTACTCTAAGTGCATTTTAAATTATCTTAAAATGTATTATAGGTATGTTAGCCAAACCTGTAGCTGCCCTTAGCAGAAAAGAACAAGAAAGGAGCTTTCTGATGGAATTGGATGCAGCCAAAGTTTGGGCTCACAAGCGCCCCCTTGAGGCTTTCCTCACTTACAAGCTGTGGTTGAGCGCGATTAAGACCCGTATTTGCTTCAAAAACACAATTTATGAGCCATCCTCTTAAATGTAAACATGTTGATTGTAAATTAAATATTTTTGAACTTTTTAAACTGTGATAAACAGAGAAAACAGTTTGATAGCACCTCACAGGACTCTCCCTGTGAGCTGTTGCTTTTTACGTCTCCCAAGAGAGGCTTGCCTCACAGCGCCGCTCTGTCAAATCTGCGATTTCAAGGTATAAATAAATTAAATAAGGCACAGCACAAATCACTTGATAAAGTGACCAAACATTATTGTATCCATTATATTACTTTTCTTTCTATGATCTTAGGTGAGGGCCTTACCTGCCTCATCTGACCGCACGTCACTGGGCTTCACAACACAATGAAGCCACCGGAGAGACTGACGCATGAATGCGTATTGAAAAAAAAAAAAGTTCAGTTTGATAAGTGACTTGCTTGATATATATTGTTTATTTTTTTGTTTTTCTTAACAATTAAGATGGTATGTTATTATCCAGTGTAATCCAAGTATGAGTCTCTCCCTCGACTCTCCCAACAAAAACCCGCCCCCCCCTCTCAGAAAATAGTTCCGACGTCCATGGTTGCAACTAGCATTTGATGGAGCAAGGTCCCGCATGCGACAAGCTGCAAACCGTAGAAATGAGCATCACGACAGGCGGGTGCAAGATGCCCCGCTGGCAGAAGGTCAGAAGGTATTGCTGCGGAACTGGGGGGCAAAGGGCCGCTGCAAGATTAAAGACATGTGGTCTTCCCAACAGTTTCTTGTAGTACGTGTACCACCCCCAGGGGGCGCAGTCTATACAGTTGCTCCAACACACAACCAAACTCTTCTTTGTCAGGTCCACCGGTCTTCAATCAAACCGCTCTCTGGTGGGGTTCCCAGTCCTTCTCCTTTGGGACCACCTCCACCAGTGGCACCACGTGCGCCGGAGGAGCTGCCCGAGGGGGATTTGTTTATGGTGGTACCAGGGCCAGCCCCTCATAGCGAGGCTGCCGCCCCAGCCACCCGCTTGCTTCCACTTGTGAGGGACGGTCCTGTGGTTCACCCACCCCCACAGGAGTCAAGTCCTAACTTTGTTCGACCGGTCGGAAACCTTGAAGTGCGCAGGACAAGGCGTGCTACTGCAGGGCGCCATCCTAATCCCCATCGCTTACCTCGAGCCCCAGTGGCTAACCTTCACTCCGCTGCTTTCATTTAGGGCTAGTATGGGTTGATCGTCGGGGTGACGATTCAGGGAGGAGGGGTGGAATGTGGTGGTACACCTGTTTTGTGAGCGCTCCTATCAGCGCTCTGGCTTGTAGTATTTAAGGACAGCCCTCTCCCGTACACTCCTGTTTTGCCTCGCCTCTGACGTCGGGACGCTGCTCGCTGGTGGCGTCCGAAGCACATGTTGCTTTAGATCCAGCCTTTACACCGGCTTTGTGGCCCAGCGGGCACGCTTCTTTCAATCTGCGTCTCGATTGTCTGTGATGCCGGCACAGCCGTGGAGTGGGGACAGAGCGCGGTTATTGCGCAACCCCTCCGCAGGTGCAGTGCTCGGCTCTGTTTGAGCCGCGGGCACGCATCCTTTACCGCATTCACACAGTCCACTTGTAATACTGGGCTCGTGTGTGCGCGCGCTAATACAGGTAATGGGGTTGACAGATTAATTGGGTTAGGCTAATTTGGCCAAGCAGCTATAATTGTGCAAATAAAAAACTCAGAGACTATAGTTTTATTCAAGTTTGATAGCGGTAGATAATGCTGACATGATTCTGACATGACAGAGCATTCAGTGTGAACAGCAGTGGTGACGAAGATCCCGAGATGTGGCTGGCTAGCCTTACGGCAACATAGGCGTATGGTCATTATGAGAGCATTATAAACATTTACGATCTAATTACAACCTGGTGTTATTCTATAGGGTGTCCACAAGAGTGCACATTCCACGCAAAAGCCTACAATAGCCAGCCCAGTTGGAAAAAAAGTGATTATCGTATGCTGTACAGAGTTCAAACGAGACTTATAATGTTAACCACTTAGCCGCTTAGCATGTCTTGCTCCTGGTATGCGCGCGCATCTCCGAATGTTTGTAAACAAGAAATCCATGTATTACTACTGAGTAACACCTAACAATGTTATTGCGTAGGGTTATTGAAATGTTGAATCATGGAGTACATTATTTTTAATACAGGGAGTCGGGCACCACATTCATACCACATGGACGAGGAGAGACCGGGTCCATCCCGTCTGAATTACGAGGCCCGCATCCAGAGGCTGGAGGCCCGCCTCACAACTATTGAGCGCTCCCACGCTATGCTTGAGAAAAAGTGCCGGTCCCTCCAGGTTGCCTCGGCTCGCGTGGCCCCCACCTCTGCTCAGAAGGGCGAGCATGTGGATAAGCTCCGGAACCCTGACTTACTGGATGGTAAGTTGGTTACTAATAGTTCTGTACCATGGAGGGAAATATTCAAATATTGTCATCCTTTTTTCTAAAAGTCAATTTGATTTTATTGCAGAATCACTGGTAGAGGACTAGAGGAAGTTCAGGCTTGGGGCGCGGACCAGGCCCAAAGACATCCACAACGCCAAGCAGTCAGCCAGCCACTCCCTGCGGTTTTGCCGCTACATGGCCCAGGGAGTGCCGGTTGACACCCTGAGGAGCCTCAGGTTCCTCAACCGGATGGACCACCTGCGTGGGTGAGTATTAGTCTGCTATCTTTGGATGAAGAATTAGGTAACTCTGCATCTTGTTTAATATCCCTAAAATTGGTCCAAGAAAATTTGCCATTTAGTTAGGATTTTCTTGTGAAAGTGAATGGTGATAGATTAAAAAATATTTATATGTGGTAACCTGTCTGTTTTTTTACACAGTTACCCGACGTACCTGGCCCAAAAGGGGTACAAAAGCACGACGGTCAAAAACATGCTTACCAACGTCATCATGTTTTTGCGCCAGGTGGGCAAGCGCTTCCCGCGCAAGACCCGCCTGAGGCCCGCTGAAGCCACTAACATCGAGTACAAGCTTCAGCGGATCCAGCGGGACATACAGCGGGAAGTGCTTATCCACAGGCAAAAGGTTCTGAAGAAAAAGTCAGGTAAGGCTTTTCCTGTCTTATATGGGTAACACCACTGCTACTAGTGCTACTACTACTACTACTACTACTACTACTACTGCTGGTGATGCTACTACTACTGCTACTACTGATAACACTTCTACTACTAGTACTAAATTATTGACCAGTCCGAAATGGTGAAATGTCACAACAGGTCCAAATAGGGATGTGGTTTTCACTAGTGTTACGCCAGTTCCATTCTTTTCACAGCCGACCAGCTGGACGCCAGCCAGTGTGTGACTTTTTTGGGCAGGGCCAAAACAGCCATTTGCGAAATTCTCGGTAAGTAGAGTACATTTGTGATTTTTTTTTTCATTTTCATTCCAAGAAGTTGTTGCTTCCCCTTAATACCTCGTGTTGTTGGGGTGTAGGCCGAGAGGATCCTGAGGAAGTGCATGGCCTGGGCATGGGCTACATCCTCTGCTACCTGGCCATCCTCACAGGCCACCGGGCGGTGGTCTTCACCAACACCACCAAGGAGTCGGTGGAAAATGCCGACTCCTGGAAGTCAGGAACCCGGTTCCAAGTGTTGGTCAGTCATATATTATTTTATTAACTCTTTATGTACCATTCAGAAAGTAATTAGAGAGGTTGTGAATTATATTAGCGAGTTGTGGTTTCTTATCAGGTCCTCATAAACAGACTTGTGCTCATACACACACTTGTACTCACACACTGGTCCTCATAAACACAGGTCCTCACAAGCAATGGGCCTCAAACACAACTTCCAGATTTTCATCTATGACTTGCTTCCAACTTCCAGATGTTCATCTATGACTGTGTTAAGGTCCTCATAAACACAGGTCCTCATAAACACACTTGTACTCAAACAACAGGTCCTCATAAACAGACTTGTGCTCATACACACACTTGTACTCACACACTGGTCCTCATAAACACTCTTGTACTCACACACATGTCTCCCTTTTGGCCGAAATTGCCGCTAGAGATCTAAAATTTTGGCAGATTGTAGCCTTGGTTGGTGCGATACCGGGAAAAACAGGGGCGAGTTCTATTTCCCACGCTTGGTTTCTTATCCATCAACAGATTTTTGTTTTGTTTTCCCCCAAGGTGGACGACCACAATTCAGGAAACAAAAATGCCTTTGAAGTATTTTATTGAGAGGTAGTTTGGCGCCCTAGGCCCCGGTGCGGCGTTCAGTCAGCGAGGCTCCTGCGAGAGTGCGCGCACAATCCCCCGGGACATAGGCACTGGTGCCGGCATTTGGCAGCAGGAAGGCAGATTGAGGCAGGGTGAAGAGGAGGAGGAGGGGAGGCGGTGGTTGCAAGGCTTCAAGAAGGCCGTGAAGCGGCTGGCGGCTGGCCGGCATAGATTGATTGGAAATGGGCGTTTGCTGTGCGATAGGCTGGGGATGCGAGGCCGGCCTGGAAGGGGTGGCTTTGGCTGACGTCTTCCAAATTGAATTTCCGCGAGGCTGCATAACTATGAAGACATTCGGGCAGGCGTCTATCCTGCTCGATCGGCAGGAGTTCGACTGGCTCCGCCTCCTGGCCACCGGCTCCTTTTGCAAGGAGGAGTGCAGCGGGGCCAATTTCCTTTTTCATAGTAGTTCTGGGGCCCAGCTGAAGCACGGCTCAGAATTGATTAATAGGGCCTGGTCAGCGGCCGGACTGAAAGGCACGATCACTTTCAACAAGGTCCGGAGCAGCGTGGCCACACAGGTAACATCTTGATTCATGCGTGAAATTGACTGCAGAGTTGAATTGTGTTTTTTGATGTTTATTTATGTTTTCTGTTTGTAAGGCCAATGACCAGCTCACAGAAAAGGAGCGGCGGAGGGTGGCCAGGGCCATGTGCCATGACCCTGCCACGGCCTCCAAATTCTATGTTGCCCTCCCCAACGGGGAGAGGCAATACCAGGACAGGCTCCTTAGAATGAAGGCCCTCTGTCTGGCCTCCAACACCAGGCCAGACAGGCACACCAGGCCAGCCGTGTCCAGCAGCTCAGAGTCAGAGGGACCTGAGCCGGTGTACCAGGACTCGCCCGACTCCTCTGGCTCTGAGCTTGCCAGCCCTGAGCCAGACCCCTCCAGCCCAGTGGACGACCCCTCCAGCCCTGAGCCGGACCGCTCCAACCCAGAGCAGGAGCCAGAGCCGGAGCCAGAGCCTGAGGCTGAGGTCGAACTTTTGAGCCCCGAATACGAGCCATTGACCCCACCGCCTCAGCCCTCGACCGCCGACCGCCAGCCCTGGACCCCGGTATGGGACGTTTCCAGTCCTGTCCCTGCATCGAGGAAGCGGCGTCGCATGCTGTTCCCGGCAGACGAGGAGGACGAGGAGCCTCGCGCTCTACCTGAGGACATGCCACGGATAAAGCAATACAAAGTGGACGTAGACAGGCTGCCACGTGGATTCCTTCTCTACTACGCCACGGTCAAAAGAGATTACCCTGTTTAAGGACCGACGAGTGTGTGAGGACCTGTATGTGTGAAGACGTGTGTGTGTGTGTGTGTGTGTGGAACTTTTTGTTTTAAGGACTGTGTGTGTGGACCTGTGTGTATGAAGACCTGTGTGTGTGTGAGGACTTGACGTCTAGGGACTTTGTCTTGTTTAGTTTGTTCTGTATTCATTCTTGTTCTTGTTGTTGTTGTTGTCCTTGTTAGGGTTAGGTTTGGGATAAGGTTATAGGCCCTTTTCACGCAACGTTACGAATCCGCCATTGTACTTCCGTGCAGTGGATAACGACTTCCTGTCCGCGTTATACCTAATGGCATGGGATCGCGCTTTTCAGTCTGAAGTAAAATATCTCCAGGAAATTTACCGCAGACGTCAAGTGGAAGGTATGTAATCATTGACAACAAGTAAGACATTGCGTGGGGAGTAAAAAAATAAAAAAAAGCACCGAAGAATAACGGTGTGATGATAGAGAAGTGAGTTTGTCCAAAAGCTTGTAGCCAGTTGTAATGCTAACGACTGCTGATTTGGGAAGATTGATTCTAATGTGTTTGCTTACGTTATTAATTGATCTGTGTAACTATTGTTTGGTTTCCTAGTTATAGATCTGTAGATAGTGCTGCAATCTGTTAGCTTCCAAAGAATAGGCTATCTTAGCTCCAAATGCTAATGCAAATTAGCAACATGCTACTGAACCGTGAGAAACGCTTGACTATCCGAGGCTTTGGTGGGCAACACAAATGTATTAAATTGATAATATTAGTTCTATGGTGGGTCAAAACAATGTTCACAAACAGAGCATTGCTCCCCTTGTGCTGTAAAAGATCTGTGATTTAAATAAACAACTCTTCACTGCTGGAAAAATCTGCTGTTTGCCCACCTTTCACCAAAACATCACAAAAATAAACAATGATCCTCCCAATAACAGAGCTATACATTTTCTTGTTAAGTATACATTGTATGTTTTACTGTTCAGTACATTACATAGGCTTGAAATTAACACCTTAAAGAGTAAAAACTGTACACCTATATCCCTCCTAAAAGTTGATTAAAATTCAAGTCAAATGTTCTAATTTCAATTTTCTCTGTGCTTTTTTATTTTTATTGTTACAGGATGGCCCAGTCATTAAGACGATGTCACTGCTGTGGACCTGGTTGCTCAAACAACAAACAGTCTCATCCATACATGAGTTACCATGATTTCCTGAAGGATACTTCAAGACGTGCCCTGTGGATCAGGGCAATTCGCAGGGATGAGGGTCCTACTTTTAAAGTGCAACGTGGAAGCACATATGTGTGCAGCTTTCATTTTAGACCTGAAGAGCTCTACAAAACAAAAAGTGGCCTGACTGTCCTCCAAAAAGATGTGGTTCCCTCCAGATTCCAATGGAATAACTGGGGTAAGAAGGGATATTGGATTTTCCTACTAATGGAAGAGATTACATTGAGTCAACACTGCCTTTTTACCTGCCTTTTTTACCACCACCAAATCTTTAGATTTTTTACTTTGTCCTTTTATTGCCATATTATGAAAAAGCTGGTTAAAAATTTGAAACATCTTGACAAGTAAAATAAGCAGTGTTGTAGAATGTCGATCTGTATGATAATTCTGAATATATTGTCCATATTGGAACATACTATTCATTAGACAGAAAATTACTCAAATAGATGAATGATGGGTTACTTGTTCAAACCAATATAGGAAATGCCTACCAAAGACCAACAAAACGTCTCTGTCGTGAAGTACCTAATGAGTGTGTGGAAGCACTCGGAACAGAGGACATCGCACAAGGGCAAGAAACTAAAGCTGCAGGGGACCATGATTACGTTGTGTGTCCTTCTCCTTGTGAGTATATTTAAATTGATAGTCTAAATGCAAACCAAGCTGTGTAATTTCTTATGTGTCATCTTAGGTAAACTAGACGGAGCTGCAAGGAAAATAAAGGACTTGGAGCTTCAGGTGATAATGCTTGAACATCAAATACAGGAACTGACCATTAAAAAACAGCAGCCTCTCATTTATAAATTTGGTGTGACTGATGAGGACTATCGGTTTTTCTGTCGATTTCCTTCCAAAGAGGTTTTTGATATATTTTGGGAATCAGTTTACCCTTCTGCTTCAAGGCTTGTATACTGGACAAAAGCTCAGCAATCTGCAATTGAAACCCCAAGCTCACAGCGAAAGCTTCCACTTATTGACGAGCTGTTTCTGTTTCTCTGTCGGGTTGCTGCTGGCCTTAAAGAGAAGATGCTGTCTAGCATTTTTGATGTCAGTCTATCAACAGTGAGTCGCATAATAATAACGTGGACCAACTATCTCTTTCAAGTACTGGGTTCTCTGCCAACATGGATGACAAAAGAGCAAGTGCAAAACACTATGCCTGAGAAGTTTCAGATCTATTGTCCAAATGTGCGAGTGATAATTGACTGTACTGAAATCCGGTGTGAGAGTGCTTCCTCCTTAACACTACAGTCTGAAACCTTTTCAAGTTACAAAAACTACACAACGTTTAAAGGTCTAATTGGGGTTAATCCTTGTGGCAATGTAACATTTGTGTCAATTATACACGGGCTCAATTTCAGATGTAGAGATAACCAAACGATCAAAGCTTTTGCTATTACTTGAACCTGGTGATGGCGTGATGGCGGATAAAGGATTCTTGATTGAGAAGATGTTGTCTGAAGTTGGAGTATCTCTAATCATTCCTCCACTGAAGAGGTCCCGTCAGCTGAGCCTGGAGGACACTCTGAAGACACAGGCCATTGCCCGGCTGAGAATTGTGGTTGAAAGGGCAATACGGCGGGTCAAAGAATATCATATATGGGATGGAGCAATTCCGCTTTCAATCACAGGTTCTGTCAACCAGAGGTGGGCTGTATGCTGTCTTATGTCCAACTATCAGGGACCTCTAGATGTTTCACAAGACAAACCCGTTTGAAATGTGTCAATATTGTTTAAATATGTAAAATGGTAAAGAATATTTCTGACCATTTAATTTTTTGTTTGCGTTCATGTTCTAGAATTTGATGTCTGGTGGAGAGCAGAGACTAAAACAACTCTTAAGGGAGAAATGCATTTTTTGTAAATAAAATCTCCAAAAAGAAAATTGACAAATGTTGTACTTCATTAGTAGTTAGAAAAGATTTGATTCACAAATCTGCCACATACATTTTATGGCTGCAAGCCTTTTCTACTGGACATCACTTTTTGAATATTGTCTCCACTTCTGGATGCCAAATAATTAGACATTAGTTAATATGTGCTGACGGACAACACAATGAACTTAGACAGTTTTGGTTTCATGTGGATTCTCCCTGTAATAACAATGTCAACCAAAAAAAAATCTGCAATTTGCCAGTTACCATAGTTACCATCATGGAATTTTCAGTTACTCCACCTCAGTTTTAAACTATTGGCTCTTTAGAATGTTGTGATGTCACGTGAACACAGCCTATTGAGAGAATATGGAATAATGAAATTATTGAAGTTATCATTCTTGTGCATTTATGAGGTACTACACAAAAGTCTTTAGAGCTAGAATTTGTTATACTTTAACAGCATTTTTTGGAGTATATAATAGTAAAAGACCACCCTTGAATATATTCAAAACACATTTTATTTAACAATATAAGGGTAGACTTGAATTGACAACCCTGTAACACAGGTACCTCTAATCCGATAAACATACAAAAACAAATAGCAATGAAACTCATGTTTTTAAAAGTTGACTACAAAGTGAACGTGACCTAAGTGCAATAGTAAAGGTTATCTTTGAAACGGAGTAGCTCACAGGATAAAATTATTGGAGACTCAATGTTTGGACTGGATGAACTCATCCATATATGTGTTATTGGGAATCAGTTTACCCTTCTGCTTCAAGGCTTGTATACTGGACAAAAGCTCAGCAATCTGCAATTGAAACCCCAAGCTCACAGCGAAAGCTTCCACTTATTGACGAGCTGTTTCTGTTTCTCTGTCGGGTTGCTGCTGGCCTTAAAGAGAAGATGCTGTCTAGCATTTTTGATGTCAGTCTATCAACAGTGAGTCGCATAATAATAACGTGGACCAACTATCTCTTTCAAGTACTGGGTTCTCTGCCAACATGGATGACAAAAGAGCAAGTGCAAAACACTATGCCTGAGAAGTTTCAGATCTATTGTCCAAATGTGCGAGTGATAATTGACTGTACTGAAATCCGGTGTGAGAGTGCTTCCTCCTTAACACTAGTTTGAGGCGTTCCTTTGATTATTCGTGCTGCAAGGTTTTTTGATGACGACTCCCCGCGTACATAACATACTTCTCTGAAACGGCTGGCTGTCAGTCTGGGTCTCCTCACCTGGCCCCAAAGAGGGCACTGTGATTGCTGTCTTGTCTCTTCTTCAATAGCTGCAGATAGGCGAGTGGACACCTTCAAACTTTCCAGGTGACATTTTTGTACATAGTTGGGCTGAAATGTGAAGGGATTTTTGAAACCGTAGCCTTCAACAGGCAGAGTAGGAAAACCTTGTGCTTTTGAATGTTTTATAATGTCTCTGCTTTCAGAATCAGGTGGAAATTGATATGATAAAACGGATCCAAACGGAACTGGGCCAAACTTTGAGTCCACCATTTTGAGACTGTCCAGGCCATGAAGCAATTTGCAAATTCCGGGCTGGGGACGCACATTCTCAAGCTTCTTCATGCTGGACATTATATGGGGATCTGGAAGTGGACCTGAGAAAAGCACAAACACAATATACAGCAGATGTTAGTAGGTCAATATCTATAGAAATGTATCGAGGAGTGCAGCTGTAGGTTGACATGAGCCTGCATAACGTAGGGGGAAAGCAGCATGGTACAGGGGAATAACACTGTGTGTACACAAAGTATTGCTAAAAAAGTTGAAATGAACAAATCAGAACATTTTCAGATGAATAACTTACCGGAATAGGCCTTGTAAACAATCGATTTCACAAATTTAGTTGTTGTTTTTGTGGATTTTTTTACCACCATGTCGGTTGTAGACTCTGGTGCAATTCCCTAAAATGAAAATATTTACATTACATTTACAGTAGAGCCAGAGAAACAAACTATACACGAAAACTTTACCTGGGTCCTTGGCCGATGCCATCTTTGCAGTGTACTGGTGCAGGATAAAGGGACTGGCACACTTTTAAAGCCCATGGCCCTATAGTCAATAATGGGCAAAATGAAGAACGCTTCAGTGTTTCAAAAATGAACTTTATGTTACATGATTTGAACCATGAGATTATGTGACCAATGCCTTGATGAATGGAAACAATCAATTCATGGATTTATACGAGCCTAGAGCTTTGAAAGGACAATATTTCAACTAAGGCCTTGGAATAAAACGAAAATTAATTACTTTGTTGATTGTAATACATTCAAATCATCAGCAGATGGCAGAATAGAATGAGGCTTCAGTTTAGAATAATTTGCTGACATAATAGGCTGTGAAGCCCCATGCATTCACAAGGCTTCATTTTTCCAATCATTACCTGTAGTGTGCCGTTTGGTACAGCACTGCAACCAGGTGGTTGCAGAGGGCCCTTCCTGCAGCACAAGAGCAAGACATTTCTTGCACAGTAAACGGCACACTTAAATTGAAGGTTATCTGTAAAAAAAATTTATAATAATAATTATATTTGTACAGAAAATCTTAATTTTATGGAGCTTAAAACAGGCATATATTATGCAGAGTCATTCACAATGCAGGCATGCAGCTAACACATTCTATTGCTACACAGCAACTTCAACAAAGATGAATGAGACTTGGATCTCTATCCATAACGTTACACAATTGCTGAAATAGAACCTGAAGATGATGCGCTTCCTCATTTTTCTTCATGGACCTATGACATCTTCCCCTGACAGTCACCTCACTCTGCACTATATTTGAAACTGATGGGAAAAATGTTAGATAATACACTACTCACTTTCAACTGGAATGAAGAGGGTAATACTAATCCCACTTAAGGCTCTTGCATAATTAGTAAAACATATTTTTTTGTGTTAATTAAACTTACAAAACAAATGTAACACCAATATTACTTGTTATAGTTAAAGCAATGAAAACACACTGGTCTGCCAACATATCATTTTAAACTTGCCTTCGTAGTTGAAAATGTATCCTTCGATGAAGAATTTATAACCTTTGTCCATTTTAGATCTTTTAGTAAGTGAATGTGTGTCACAGATCCTGTGTATGTCCTCAAATGTTAATTGAGGCAAGTTGAGAAGGAACTCTGTAAAAACATTGTGTGATGACTGGGCCATCCTAGAAAGAAAAAAAAAATGAAATTAGCACATTAAACTTAAGCCTAAATAAAGTACTGAACAGTAAAACATACAATGTATACTTAACAAGAAAATGTATAGCTCTGTTATTGGGAGGATCATTGTTTATTTTTGTGATGTTTTGGTGAAAGGTGGGCAAACAGCAGATTTTTCCAGCAGTGAAGAGCTGTTTATTTAAATCACAGATCTTTTACAGCACAAGGGGAGCAATGCTCTGTTTGTGAACATTGTTTTGACCCACCATAGAACTAATATTATCAATTTAATACATTTGTGTTGCCCACCAAAGCCTCGGATAGTCAAGCGTTTCTCACGGTTCAGTAGCATGTTGCTAATTTGCATTAGCATTTGGAGCTAAGATAGCCTATTCTTTGGAAGCTAACAGATTGCAGCACTATCTACAGATCTATAACTAGGAAACCAAACAATAGTTACACAGATCAATTAATAACGTAAGCAAACACATTAGAATCAATCTTCCCAAATCAGCAGTCGTTAGCATTACAACTGGCTACAAGCTTTTGGACAAACTCACTTCTCTATCATCACACCGTTATTCTTCGGTGCTTTTTTTTATTTTTTTACTCCCCACGCAATGTCTTACTTGTTGTCAATGATTACATACCTTCCACTTGACGTCTGCGGTAAATTTCCTGGAGATATTTTACTTCAGACTGAAAAGCGCGATCCCATGCCATTAGGTATAACGCGGACAGGAAGTCGTTATCCACTGCACGGAAGTACAATGGCGGATTCGTGACGTTGCGTGAAAAGGGCCTATTGTTCATTTATATCCAGTGGGTGTTTTGGTTCCAAGTAAGTCCATCCAATATTTTGCTCTGTCTCTCCTCTCTCTGTCCGTCCAGGTACAATTGGCCTGGAGTCCGGACAGCTCCAGTGTCTCCAGGCCGTGTACCAGGAAGTGAGACAGGCAGAGTGAGAAGGAGGAGGAGGTACTCCTTAGTCTCCCCTCCTGTTCCCCGAGTGAGTCCCTTGTTTCTCCCACATATTGTAATTTGCACCTCCTGCACCTAATCAAATACACCACATTTTGTGTCTGGGGGCCAAAGGTTTGGGTCACCTTATAAAGGAGTCCCTTAGCTCCGTTGTGTACAAAAGTCCTCCGGCTCAGAGAGGTCCCTTCCTTGATGGGAGGGTCCGGATCCTGGAGTGACTTGAGCTTAGCTGTGACCAAACGATCCTTTCGATTTTTATTCCTTCTGTATGCCCCAATGAATCTATGGTTAGGCAGGAGTCCCTGAGTATGAATGAACTTATGATAATTCTCTCTGAGTCCAGGTCTCAGTGAGAGGGAAGTCTCTGAAAAAGTGGAGATGAAGGGGACCACATCTCCCGTGGGTCTGTCTTTGAGCTCCTCAAATGTGGAAAGGCAAGTTCTCAAAAAGGACCTGGAGTATCCCCTTCTCCTCAAGGCTCCAAATAAGATGTGCACTGCTTCTTTAAAGTCCTCTTCTTGTGTGCAGATGCGTTTGAAGCGAATCAGTTGTGACTTGACTATTCCTCCAAATGTTTAGGGTGGTGACTAGTTTTGTAAAGAAGAGCATGTGTGTCGTGTCTTTGAAATAAACGTTACGGTCTAATTTTTTTAATTGGACAAAAAGTGGTCCCTTGAATACTGTTGTGTCTAAAAAATCCACGCTGTGGGGGCTAACTATGTGCTTGAGTTTAATTGAGGGGTCAAATGAGTTCAATATGTTTATTTATTTATTTATTATTTATGTTTAAATTCCTCATTCTTTTTGGGAATAGGTCAAGATACTAAAGATATCGTCCAGATATCTGTAATAGGCCAGAGGTTTGTTGGGGCATGTGCTTAAGGCTCTCTCTTCCCATTCTGCCATGAATATATTAGCATAGGAAGGGGCAAACCGTTTGCCCATGGCTGTCCCTTTGACTTGTAAATAAAACTGTCCATCAAATTCAAAGTCATTACGTCTCAGGTTGATCTCCAGAAGCTGGGGGAGTTCTGAGTCTGGTCTGGTGGGGTCTGGGTATCTGGTCATCATGTTCCTGACTGCCTCGATTCCTGCTGGGATGTCAATGTTGGTGTACAGGGAGTCCACGTCAATAGTAAAAAGGAATGCGTTTTTTGGGGTCGTTATGTTTTTAACTAATTCAATAAAAAGATATGTGTCTTTCAGATAAGACGGGTGTCTGGTCGACAGGAGATGGAGGTAATACTCCAGATACTGGGCAGTCCCATACGTCTCAATGGAGCAGTCAGAGACGATGGGACGGCCCGGTGGGATCTGGAATGGGATGGTCCATTTCTGAGGCTCTTTGTGGATCTTGGGCTCCTCCTTCCCTCTCAGGTATTCTTTTTGTTTTTGATCTATGTATTTTTTGTTTTAAGTGAGTCCAGGATGTTGTCCACTAGGGGTTTTGGTTCCAAATAGATGGGGGAGTCCAATTTAGTGTAGTAAGTGGTGTCATTTAGTTTGTCTGTGAACTTCCATTGTATACTGCTCCCTGTCTAATATGACCGTAGCACTCCCTTTATCCGCTGGTTTAATAACAATATTTTTGTTATTGGTCAGCTCCTTTAGGGCTTCCTTTTCCTCCTGAGTGAGGTTCTGTTTGACCGTTGTTTTTCTGTGATTTTTCTCTAATTCTTTTAGGTCCGCTCTGATCAGGAAAGGCATTTCTGGGGGAAGGAGTTCTTGTGGAGGGGACCACTCCGAGGTCCCTCTGAACGGCCTGGACTGGGACGTGTCTCCACTATTTTTGAAATGGAGTAAGAGTTTCAATCTCCTATGATAATTTTGAAAGTCTAATTTTAATTGTTCTCTCTGATTCTTTTCCAGGTCCAATGTGGGGATAAAACTGAGCCCTCTTCCAAGTAGGCAAAGTTGTACCTCTGAGGGCTGGAAGTTTTTGGAAAGAACCATTACATTCTGGGTTTCCTTTTCAGTTTCAAGCCCCCTTGTGCTTAAGCTTGTGGGGCTCTGGCGTTTAAAAAGGAAACCCAGTGTTTGAAGGTTGCTTCGGCCGTGGGTCTGGTCCAGTGAACATTGTCTGCCTTTGTGGCAAAGGTACGTGTGTGGATAGCCGGGATACAGTGTTCCCTCCCTTCAATGTGCTCATTCAAATGTGTTATGTTCTCTTGTTGGTTGCGTGGCAGGTTCTTGGAGAAGTTAATTGAGGGGATCCAGACCTCTGCATAAGGAAAGCGTGATTTGGCTGCATAGAGAGCTGCCTGCATTTGCCTCACAGCAGGCCCCTTATCCCTCTGTTCCCTGTGATTAATCCCAAAGGACAACAGTATTTTCTCCACCCTGGTGTACTGGATTGCACCTGCCAGGAGGGATGCCGCATGACTGAAGTTCCCCCCAGGGACGCAGTCAATTTGTAGGTCTGCGATGGAGTGATTTGGGAAGCCCCTGATGTGTAAAAAATATATAAAAAAAAAAAAAGTAGACAGACTGTAATATTAAAGTTATTACGCACCTGCTTTAGAAGGCCTGTGATGTAGGGGTGTGACGATATATCGATTTTTCAATATATCGCGATACTTTCTCCCGCAATTCGATTATCGATATGCATTTGCCAAACTTTTTTTTTTTTTTTTATTGGTATCAATACTTAATATATGGCTACATTACACATCTCCATTCTATTTATCATGAAATAAAGAGTAATTTTTCTTTTATTTATGCCATAAATTGGCATATTGTATATTTCTAACCAATATATCAATAATCGTCATATCGTGATAAAATCGTTATCGTGATATCGTTATCGTGATATTATCGTTATTGTGAGCTTTGTATCGTGTATCGTATCGTATCGTGAGGTACCCTTAGGTTCCCACCCCTACTGTGATGTAGAGCAGGGGTTCCCAAAGTTTTTAGCCCGCGACCCCCATCATAAATGCCCTGCTAACCCGCGACCCCTGCCCCCCCCCAACAGCCCTTCCGTCACATGAAATGATCATGTATTTCCTTGATACGGAGTAACGCTTTCTAGAGACTCACGCCACTACCGAGCTGCACTGTCCAGCCCAAAAAAGGAGGCTTGCATATTTTTACTCATGTAGTGACACAGTGATGGGCTTGGTGGGCTCTCTCCTCAGCAGAAGTGGAGCGCATTTCTTGCGGCTCGCCCTCACTGTTCTCCTACCGCGGTAAAGTGGGCCGGCTTTCCGGAGTCAGCGGTAAAGAGGTCCGCACATTAAAAGCGGGCGGCCGCTTTCTGCTGTTACTTTATGCGGATCATCCCCTCTTTCCAAAGTTACTGTCAGTAAAGGCATAAACCGGCCACCCGCTTTTAATGTGCGGACCTCTTTACCTTTGACTCCGAAAAGCCGGACCTCTTTATCGCGCTGTTCTACCGCTGTCCTCCCTCCCTCCGCTGCCCTCCCTTCCGCCGCTGCCCTCTCTCCCTCCGCTGCCCTCCCTCCCTCCGCTGCCCTCTCTCCCTCCGCTGCCCTCCCTCCCTCCTCTGCCCTCTCTCCCTCCGCTGCCCTCCCTCCCTCCGCTGCCCTCTCTCCCTCCGCTGCCCTCCCTCCCTCCTCTGCCCTCTCTCCCTCTCTCCCTCCTCTGCCCTCTCTCCCTCTCTCCCTCCGCTGCCCTCCCTCCCTCTCTCCCTCCTCTGCCCTCTCTCCCTCCTCTGCCCTCTCTCCCTCCGCTGCCCTCCCTCCCTCTCTCCCTCTCTCCCTCTCTCCCTCCTCTGCCCTCTCTCCCTCTCTCCCTCCCTCCCTCCGCTGCCCTCTCTCCCTCCTCTGCCCTCTCTCCCTCTCTCCCTCTCTCCCTCCTCTGCCCTCTCTCCCTCTCTCCCTCTCTCCCTCCTTTGCCCTCTCTCCCTCTCTCCCTCCTCTGCCCTCTCTCCCTCTCTCCCTCCGCTGCCCTCCCTCCCTCTCTCCCTCCTCTGCCCTCCCTCCCTCCTCTGCCCTCTCTCCCTCTCTCCCTCCTCTGCCCTCTCTCCCTCTCTCCCTCCGCTGCCCTCCCTCCCTCTCTCCCTCCTCTGCCCTCTCTCCCTCCTCTGCCCTCTCTCCCCTCTCTCCCTCCGCTGCCCTCCCTCCCTCTCTCCCTCTCTCCCTCCTCTGCCCTCTCTCCCTCTCTCCCTCCGCTGCCCTCTCTCCCTCTCTCCCTCTCTACCTCCTCTGCCCTCTCTCCCTCTCTCCCTCCTCTGCCCTCTCTCCCTCCGCTGCCCTCTCTCCCTCTCTTCGCACCATCAGCCTGACCCCTGATACAAGTGACTTTTCTCCCCCTCCGGGTTTTTCTGTTGTGGATATTAACCACGTTTCATTTTAAAGCAGGTATTATTTATTTGTAGCCTCCAAACACCTTTAGTTTTAGCAAACAACAGCAGGACACGCTTTGTCGCTGCGCATGATGTGAGCTGTGTTACGTGATGATTTTGATTGACGCTGCAATGACTGGGACAAAATTACTAACGTTATTAAAATATATTATAGTCTCCAAACACAATTTAACAAGTAGTCCTTTTGAATCAAATCAAACGCTAAATAAATATTTAATGGCTTTATATTTGCTCAAAAAAAAAAACATCTTTTTTTTTGTTTTGTGTAGAAATCATCTTGCGACCCCCCCCAGGGGTTCCCGCAACCCCCCGGGGGGTCGGGACCCCCACTTTGGGAACCACTGATGTAGAGTTTCACTTTTCAGCCCGAGCCCGAGCAGGCCCGAGGCCCGACCTGAGTTCGGGCCGGGCTCGGGCCTCATTTGGCGCTCAGCTGTCGGGTTCGTGCCGGGCTCGGGCTTCTTTTTTTAAATATATGTTTCTTTTTTATTATTATTACAATTATTTTTAAATAATTTTTTATACATAATGATATGCATATATATATAAATATATATATATACAGTGCCTTGCGAAAGTATTCAGCCCCCTTGAACCTTTCAACATTTCGCCACATTTCAGGCTTCAAACATAAAGATATAAAAAAATTTTTTTTGTCATAAATCAACAACAAGTGGGACACAATCGTGAAGTGGAACGAAATTTATTGGATAATTTTAACTTTTTTAACAAATAAAAAAGTGGGGCGTGCAATATTATTCGGCCCCCTTGCACTAATACTTTGTAGCGCCACCTTTTGCTGCAATTACAGCTGCAAGTCGCTTGGGGTATGTCTCTATCGGTTTTGCACATCGAGAGACTGGAATTCTTGCCCATTCTTCCTTGCAAAACAGCTGGAGCTCAGTGAGGTTGGATGGAGAGCGTTTGTGAACAGCAGTCTTCAGCTCTTTCCACAGATTCTCAATTGGATTCAGGTCTGGACTTTGACTTGGCCATTCTAACACCTGGATACGTCTATTTGTGAACCATTCCATTGTAGATTTGGCTTTATGTTTTGGATCATTGTCCTGTTGGAAGATAAATCTCCGTCCCAGTCTCAGGTCTTTTGCAGACTCCAACAGGTTTTCTTCCAGAATGGTCCTGTATTTGGCTCCATCCATCTTCCCATCAATTTTAGCCATCTTCCCTGTCCCTGCTGAAGAAAAGCAGGCCCAAAGCATGATGCTGCCACCACCATGTTTGACAGTGGGGATGGTGTGTTCAGGGTGATGAGCTGTGTTGCTTTTACGCCAAACATATCCTTTTCCATTGTGGCCAAAAAGTTTGATTTTGGTTTCATCTGACCAGAGCACCTTCTTCCACATGTTTGGTGTGTCTCCCAGGTGGCTTGTGGCAAACTTTAAACCAGACTTTTTATGGATATCTTTGAGAAATGGCTTTCTTCTTGCCACTCTTCCATAAAGGCCAGATTTGTGCAGTGCACGACTGATTGTTGTCCTATGGACAGACTCTCCCACCTCAGCTGTAGTTATCTGCAGTTCATCCAGAGTGATCATGGGCCTCTTGGCTGCATCTCTGATCAGTCTTCTCCTTGTTTGAGATGAAAGTTTGGAGGGACGGCCGGGTCTTGGTAGATTTGCAGTGGTCTGATACTCCTTCCATTTCAATATAATTGCTTGCACAGTGCTCCTTGAGATGTTTAAAGCTTGGGAAATCTTTTTGTATCCAAATCCGGCTTTAAAATTCTCCACAACAGTATCTCGGACCTGCCTGGTGTGTTCCTTTGTCTTCATGGTTCTCTCTGTGCTTTAAACAGAACCCTGAGACTATCAAAGAGCAGGTGCATTTATACGGAGACTTGATTACACACAGGTGCATTCTATTTATCATCATCAGTCATTTAGGACAACATTGGATCATTCAAAGATCCTCACTGAACTTCTGGACTGAGTTTGCTGCACTGAAAGTAAAGGGGCCGAATAATATTGCACGCCCCACTTTTCAGTTTTTTATTTGTTAAAAAAGTTTAAATTATCCAATACATTTCGTTCCACTTCACGATTGTGTCCCACTTGTTGTTGATTCATGACAAAAAATTAAAATTTTATATCTTTATGTTTAAAGCCTGAAATGTTCAAAGGTTCAAGGGGGCCAAATACTTTCGCAAGGCACTGTATATATATATATATCCATCCATTTTCTACCCTTTAATCCATTTCTGGGTCAGGGGGGTGGCAGTCAGAGATGCCACCCAAGTCTCATAGCACCAGCCCCTCACTGACCCTCTGCAGGTGGTGATTCCACAGGAGGACGGCTGCTCTCTGAGTGTGAGCATAGCCTTGATCTTTCAGTGGGGGCTCTGGGCAAAGTGGGGTTAAGTGTCTTGCCCAAGGACACAACGACAGCAGTCATCAGTGGGAGTCGGTGGAGAAGGTGCAGAGGTGGGAATTGAACCCACGACCTTCTGGCCTTAAGGCCAATGCTCTACCAACTGAGCTACTGTCGCCCCTTATAATATATATATATATATATATATATATATATATAAAAATTGTCCACTCACCTTTGGCCCTCCGCGGGCGGTTATCCCTCTCTAAGCTCGGGTCCTCTACCAGAGGCCAGGGAGCTTGAGGGTTCTGCGCAGTATCTTTGCTGTTCCTAGCACTGCACATTTCTGGACCGAGATGTCCGAGGTTGTTCCGGGGATCCGCTGTAACCACTCATCTAGCTTCGGGGTCACTGCCCCGAGTGCACCGATCACCACGGGCACTACTGTGACCTTTACCCTCCAGGTCCTCTCTGAGACCTTGGTATTTCTCAAGCTTTTCATGTTCTTTTTTCCGGATGTTACCATCGCTTGGAATTGCCACGTCCACCACCACGGCTGTCCTCTGCCCTTTGT